CCAGAACGGGTCATATCAGCCCTTAATGTGAAGCTTCGGACTCCATCACCACCACTCCCCACCAACAACGTACCCTGGCAGTCGCAAACCCCCAGCAACACCCTGGAATTTGGGTCGCAATCAACTCTGATTCGAGAGAAGTATAAGAGGCAGCAGGGCAGCTCACCAAATTCTGTTCTAAGCGCGCTTGAGCACTACGCAAAGGGGGGAGCAATCTTATCCCACAAGCTGGTTTTAGCTCAACAGGAAATCAAGGAGCTTCAAGCGGCTAACGAGGCCGCCATGCGACGAAAATCACATAAAAGAAAGCGAGTTCAGAAGGAAGGGACCCTAATAGTTGAAGATGGGCAGCGGCTGGCAGCTCTAAAGGAGTTTGGGGCGCGTGGTGATGGGAAGAGGGCGAAGAAGCAGGTGCGCACTCAAGAGGGCGAGCCAACCCAACAGCGCTGTGGAAGGTGCAATCAGACAGGACACAACGCGCGAACGTGCAAGATTGATGTAGAAGAGGTCTCTGAATGATATTCCAGCCTGTACTGTACCGTGCAGGACCAAAGTGTGGTGTTTTGGGCCATGATGGGTCAAGTTTTGGTGGGGGCTTGGCAAAAGTGATTCGCTCGCCCGTTGATCCGCTCGCCCGTGGGGTACGTTATATATTATATAGTGTCTATACCTCCTATATACTCTACCTTAGTAGTAATTATTTAGGTATCTATAACCTTATATTAAGCTTTAATAGAATAGTATCTAGGTTATATAGAACTAGCCTAGTACTTCTAAAGCCTACTTTAATATTCTCTACTATTAAAGACTATTTAAAAGCTAGCTTAAATACTTATAGGAAGGTTTCCTTACTAATAAAATATATATAGTTATATGCTAAGGTTAAGATCTAGTTAATATACCTACGCTTTAATAGTATAAAGTAATAAATATTAAGAGGTTATAGTAGGTATAATAAGTATAGAAGTGTATAGTAAAGGATAATTTTCTTCTTCTTATAAAGATTCTAGAATTCTAGTAAGCTATAGCTCTTATAGCTATTAAGTATAAGTAGCTAGTATATACCTATAGTACTTAACTTTATATACTTATTAAAGTGCTCTAACTAGGTAAGAGTAAGCTAATTATTTATCTAGCTATTTAGGCTTACTTTAAGAATCTAGTTATATAGTAGGTCTTTAAACTAAATATTAATAAGTATACTACCTATAAAGATAATAAAGAGTAGGAGTAGGTAACCTATAGTATTAACACCTTTAATAATAGTAACCTACTTATAGTTACCTAGCTAGATAACCTTCTTTCTTCTAGCTACTTCTAAACTAGTAATAACTATCTATACTAAGATTTTACTTATAATAAAGCTAGTCTTATTAAAATTATAGTTATTATTATTAATAATCCTATACTTCTATTTTATCTCCTATATTAAGTTAAGCTAGCACTAGATAGCTATAGGATCTTTATAGGTAGCTTGCTAATAGTTATATAGATAGCTCTAGCGCTTCTAGAGTTTAGGAGTATACTTACTAAAGTTATTAACCTAGTTCTTACTAATAGGGTTACTACCTTATAATCTTAGAAGTCTATTTACTATTTCTTATATAATAGACCTTAAGGGTGTAAGACTTTATAAAGACTACTTAAGAACCCTTTAGACTATAGCCTCCTCTTCTAGTTTTATTAGGCACTTTAAGTTTACTTTATAGTTATGTTATATATACTTTCTAGTATATTAGTTACTAATAGTCTTTTAAGGTATATTATATATATCTATAGCTTAATTTATACTTTAAATATATAATACTTTAATATAAGAGATAGCAAGCTATATATTAGCTTTAATGTAAGTCTTCTAGCTATATTATAGTTAAGATATTATATAATTATTGCGTATAGGTAGTATATAGGTTTAGTATTAGCTACTTACTTAGGGTAGCTACTTGCTTATAAAACATATTTTATTAACTTTCTAATACTTATTATATTTAAAAGTAATAAACTACTTTTAATAGAAATAGATACTTTAAATTTAGTATTAAAAGTATAAATTATAAAAGAAAAAAATTAATAATAGTAATTAACTACTTACTACTTATATAAGTTTTTAGAATTAAAAAAATACTATAATATATATAATAAGAAACTTTTAGTAATTTTATAATTTCTAGAATATTAGTAAGTATTTATAGAAAGCTATTTAGACTTTAAAATCTATATAGACTATAAGAACCTAGTATATTATACTACTACTAAAGTCTTAAATTAAAGATAAGTGAAATAGTTAGAAATACTAGGCTAGTATAAATTTAAGATTTTATATACTCTAGGTAAAGATAATAGTAGAGTAGACGTGCTTAGCTAATAATATAACCTAGTAGGTAAAAAAATTAGTTTATAAAGTAGCTATACTTAGAATTAATATAAATAGATCTCTTAAACTATTATAATAGCTTAATAATATTATATATATATTATAGAAAGAATTTAAACTAAGCTAAGTACTAAATAACTTTTAAGAAGAAATTATATATAATTATTATAATAATATACTATATAGTTATCTTATAATTATAAAAATAATAAAGCATATTAAAAAATACTATAAGTTTTAAAATATAAGAGATAAAGTTACTAAATATATTAAAGAATATATTAACTATTAGTAGAATAAGTCCAGTATATATACTAAGTATAGAGTAATATAGATAATAAAACTACTAACTATACTATAGATAAATATTATAATAGATTTTATTACTTATCTACTAATCTCTAAAGACTTTATTATAGACTATAAATTTAGTTTAATATTTATAGTAGTAGATAGATTTAAAAAAACTACTAAGTTTATACTTTTTTAATATAGCTATAATATAAGTATATAGTAAGTAAGCTAGCTAGGTAAGTAGGCTACTCTAATAAGCTATTAAGCCTACTAACCTTTAAACTATAGTAGATTAACTACCTAACTTTAAATTACTTTTAAAAGAAGATAGAATTAAGCTTATACTTTAAGTAATTAAAAAACTTTAAAAACTAAGTATATAACATAGTACTACTATCTATAAAATACTAAGAATAACTTTTTAAATATTTAATACTAGAAAGTAGTTAATATATAATACCTAGCCTAAATTATTAGTACTTAATAAAATAAAAGAGAAAATATTTATATAGTATATTAAGAACTTTAATAAGTAAAATACAGCCTTAATACTCTATTATATTAAAAATATAGCTAATTAACTATATACTATATATAATATAAATTCTATTAGCTTTTAATAAGTATTAAACTTTATTAAATATAAACTTAAACTCTAGTTATATATAACTTAATAAAGAGATTACTAAAGTGTTTTCTATAGTAGCTAAAAAGTTATTAAGTATTAGTTTAACCTAGTATAGAATATTAAAGCTAAGTATAGTATTCTAGATAATAATACTTCTACTTTAATAAGACTAGTATTACTATAAGTATTAGAAATTATATTAAAGTAGTTACTATATTAGAAAGGTACTTAGAGCCTATTAAAGTCTAGTAGAGAGATTAAAAGTAGGTAACTCTAATTACTATACTTAATATAATAGGGTAGTAATTACTTCTTATTTTATCTTTAAAGTAAGAAACTATAATATGTTCTAGTACTCTAATTTAAAGCCTTAATAGTATATTAAAGTTAGTAGTAATAGCTAGACTATAAATAATATTAGAGTAGCTTAGTTAAGGTACTTTATTAAGTAGATTAAGGACTAAAAGGTAGGTAGTTATATACTACTAATACTTAATAGCTATAAAAGCTATAAGTTACTTACTTTTTAAAAGATTTATAGGAAAAATAAGATAATTACTCTATATATACTTTTATACTTATCTTATATTCTATTGCTACTTAATATAGGTTATTTTACTTTATTAAAGTAGGTATATAGTAAGAAAATTAGAGTCTTAGTACTAGACTATATTAGCTAGATTAATAAAAAAGCCTTTATTATAACTTTTAGAAAAGGATTAAATAAAATATTTTTATAAGTAAATATTCTATTAAGCTTTTAAGTAACTAGCTTAGTACCTAATAATCTATTAGTAATACTATTAAAGCTTAATATAAAGTATTATATACTAATACTATTTCTTTTTAAAAAAAGCCTACTAGAACTCTAAGATACTTACTAATACTAATAAAATAAAGGCTAAATTAATATTACTTTTAATTATATTTAAAGGTACTAAGAATTATTACTAACTCTAATAATAAAGATTATTAATTAGCTATAGAAAGGTACTATAATACTACTATATAGGTAGATATTATTAGTAGCTTAAGTACTATAGCTTAAAGTATTAAATAAGGCTACTTCTAAGTATAAATTATATAAAAAAAAGTAAGTTTAAAAAGATAAAAACCTATTAAAGAAAGAGGTAAAAAATTTAATAGCTTAATATAATATTATAGTAAAAATTAAGAAAAAGATTTTTAAAAGTAGAGCCTAAGCTAGTATAGATTAAAAAAGGTAAAAAGTACTATAAGCACTATAGTAAAGTATAATAAGCTATAGTATAATATTATAGTATTAAATAATTATAGTTTATAGGCCTAATAGCTTATTAGAGCATGCTATTTACCTAGCTATACTACATACTATTTACTTATATTAGTTATTTTAAGTAAATAGAGTAGTTAAAGTTTTTTAAAAGCTAGAATCTTATTTATCTAGCTTATAAAGCCTACTAACTAGGCGCTAGAACATCTAATAGATAGTTAAGATAGTGTGCTAAGATATAGCTAGAGGCTAGAATTAGTTAGCTAAGTTATAGCGTTGGTTAGCTCAAGTGTTTTCTCAAGTATACCCTAGCTACCCCGCTAGCGTCGCACGGGCGCTGTGCGTCATCATCAAGGAAATTCCGCAAAGCGAAACTGCATCCTTACTGTCCATCTCTTTTTGGGCTTCTGCAACCGTATAGATCTTGGACCCTGGAGGTCTGACGAATTCTCATGACTGATAACTCTCGGCCAGCGATGACCGCGCTTCCGGCCGAGCGGCCAAGGAAGAGGGTTCGAATGGCTTGTGACAGATGCCGACGCCAAAAGCTGCGGGTACGTCATCTTTGCATATTCCAACACTTACGAGTGCCTACGATTTACCTCTTATTAATGAAAGAGCTGGCTGACTCTCATTAAGTGCGATACTAAACGTCCTTGCGCTCTGTGCGTTCGCTCCGCAGTGCAATGTTTTACGGACGGCTGGGAGGTCTCTTCAGACCGGTACGTTCTCGTGGTTCCAAGTCGTTGGTAGATACTAACAGCGGCTGCAGCCAGCAAGATGGTGAGAAACACTCTTTCCCTAGTTTCGATCTGGATAATGCCTACTCATGGGCTCGAAATGGCGTTGGAAACGCATCCGAGCATATGTTGGGGAACCGGAATCCTACTGTATCACCTGTCGTCAACAGCGACAGTCCTTGTTCAGAAACTGGCCTCCCGGGAGGTCAGAAAATTGCACAAAACGTGTCATCAGCTATAGAGCTGACCCAAGATGTTAGTCTATCCCAGAACATCAGGACACCTTGCCCGCTAGCTGACTCTGGTATCAGATATTACGACAGCTTGACCCCAATCTATCACTGCAGACCGATACCTCAGCATTACCTGGTGGCTCTCGTGGCAACCGAGCGTCGTCCGACCAAGCAGGATGTCAGCTGCCGGTGTGCGACATTATCGGCATCGAGTTGCCTCCGAAGGGTGTAGTTGATGTTCTTGTCGATTCTTATATTGAATCTGTTCACTGGTTCATGTTGTTATTTCACGAGCCATCTTTCAGATGGAGATACAATGCCATACTGTCTACGGGTATGGCATCTTCTGGAGACATACACTTTCTGGTCCAGTTGATGCTTGTTCTGGCCATTGGAGCCAGATATGCAGAGCCAGAAGCAGCACTCTCATGTGCAGGTCTCGGCCTAGACCTACTCGCCTTGCAGGACACGTTACTTCACGGTGTCCGTGCACATCTATTCGACATCATAGACGAAGGCGGTGTCGAATGTGTACAAACTTGCGTCCTCCTGAGCACGTTCTACCTTTACCACGGGAAGCCAAACCTCGCATTTGCTATTCATGGCATGGGTTTCAAATGTGCGGAGGCAATCTGTCTTCATGATGAATCTAGTTGGCATGACGACACTGCTCTAGCTCGAGAGGTCAAGCGCCGCGTTTGGTGGGCGTTATATGTCGTTGACTGGTAGGTGGTCCGAAAACAGCGCTAGAGAGTGGACTAACCTCGTATAGCTTCTACTCCATCATATACGGTCGACCCCGTTGTACTAGAGACGGCGAGTCACGGGTGTCAATGGTAACAAATTTCGATGATACGACTGCTCGTCATCCGACCTACAGATCATTTGAGATGGTAGATGGCATAAATTACCCCATCACGATCTTTTCGTATCAACGATATAAGTTCAATCTTTACAAGATTGCATCCCGCATCATGAAGGAGATGCACTTCCATAGCTCCCCAGGTTTGTTAGTAACAGCGAGGAAAGCAGAAGACTTCAACAGAGAACTCACGACTTGGTACGATAGCCTTCCCCTTGAGCTGCGATATGCAGCCAATGAACCGGAGCCGTGCTCAGGCACTACATTCTCAGAGGGAAAGATCGCCAGGACTTTTGGTCTTCAGGCTCTTACTCTTCAGCTAGCGTACGACAACATCCAGATACTCCTGCACCGTCCGATGTTGCAGTACCCCATTACTATCCACGATAAGACACGCCCTCCTGGAACCTGTCCGCCATCGTCCAATACACTTTCAGCGAACAAAGCGGTTGTTTCTGCTCAAGAAAAGGCTGTCCGAGAGATAGGCAAAGCCCGGTGTTGGGAATCCGCGCTCCGGACGTCGCAGATTCGCGTTTCGACCATGAAAGCTGCTGAGCAAACACACGCTGCGTCTTATGTTGGGATCCACATGTTCACTGCTAGTATGGTACTTAGCATTGTGGCCCTGTCCGAGCCTCTGTCCGTTACAGCGCACGAAGCAAAATCAGCGATCGCCCGTATAGTTAACATTAGCTCAGCCACAAACCGCAAAGCCCTTCTATCGGCACAGGCCGAACAGGTCATGCGTGAACTTATGCGGCTCATTCTTGAGAAAGAAATGGGCTCCATATTCTCAACCGCTGAACGACCAATTGATTCAGACGACAGAAGTGAGAATGATGCGCAAAGGCATCCATCGAGGAGCAGCATTAAACCGCACCTAGCTCAGTCCCATAATTTCGAGCAAGTTGTAAGCGCCAGTCGAAGTGGTGGTACTTATGAGAGTGACATTGCAACAGCACGGCAGAACAACTCTTGGTCCTCAACACATCAGCAGCAAATTGGGGATCAGGAGGCTTTCCTTAGTGAAAGGGTGAATTACAAACAAGCGCTGTCATCTCTGAATGATGGTAAGTCTCATGATCATTGAGCAGTCCGCTATCATCTATTCTTAACACCTGCTAGTAATATCTCAAACGAAGCGTTCGCCCAAAAATGATCGCCACTGGCAGCAAAGTACCATCGAGTCTGCCAACGTCCAGACATTAGGAGCCTTAGGTGGCGGGATGACTAGTGTATGGGAGTCTGACAGCGGAGGCCTGAGTGATGTGGGACAGACCTGGTTGTGGGAGTCCGCATCGCTTCTTACCGACATCAACCATGACTTGGACGTACCTTCTACAGGATATGGCAACGATTTCAGTAGATTGGAATGATGAGTTTCGAGATCCTGCGTAGTCTGACAATGTTGATTCGGTTCTGTGGCTTCTCTTGTATAGTTCCCACCCGACATCCCTATTTGACCACGTCAAGGACCTGGAGCACCCTATTTCTTATTCCGTACGGAACGTCGATCAGGCAAAATATTTCGAAAGCACAGGACTTCAAAGAATGTCAACATGTTGATATTTTGGACAATATGGCCAAAAGCATTGCATCGGCACTATGCCACATCGTTTCTGGCAGCCTTGAAAGCTACTTGAGGCGTGTGAAAATTAATTTCCAAGCATACTGTCGAGCCAAGGCCACAGCCTGTTGGCAAAGTCCTTTTCAAAATCGGTCTGCTCCCCAGCAGTCATGTCCCAACAGTCAAACCCGTGGTCGTGATCTCCGGGAATGCTCCACCATTCATGTTGTACTCCATTATCCTTCAAAGTTTTAACCAACTTCTCACTCTCGGTGTGCGGGATGAACCTGTCGCTCTGGGCATGTGCGACGAAGGTTGGCGGAAAGCTATCGGACACGTTCTTAGGAATTGACCATTTCGCGTCTATCTCCGACTTGGACAACGGTCCGTATACCGAAGACAGGTAGGTTCCTTCCTGTAACATGTGAAAGTATGCCATTGCCCGCCCCCAGTACTCGAAACGGGGAATGTCTAAGCATGTTTCGGATTGGGAGACTACCGGTGCACCGGGCCCGATATACTGCTCCACTTCTTCATAAGAAATCAGACTTTGCCGGCCGGGTGGAGGCTTCGGCCTAGTCGCTGTTGTAAAGGTGGGGTCGGTGGGGTCGCATAGCGGATACAATGCTATAACGGCTCTGGGAGGAGGGCGCAGATATAGACCCGCCGTGAGGGCAAGCTGAGCACCTAAATAGTTCTTAGATCAACGCATGCTCAAGCATGAATTGGCCGCGCATAATAACATACCACAGCTTCCGCCACCAATGATCAATTTGTGTGAATTGACAATACCTGGCCCAAGTTCCTTTGGCAGCACCTCTCGTACCCACTTCGCGCAATCTTCGACATCTTCGTAGATATCCTGCATCTTAGCCTGAGGAGCTAGTCGATAGTCTGCGTTGACCACGATGTAACCTCGCTTGGGTCCAGAGAAAAACATGTGATTGCCAACAGCATTTCGACTCTCAAATACCATGCCACTGTAGTGCATCCAAATGATCACTGGGCATGGTTTAATGACTTGTTCGGGTACGTATACATCGCAATCGATGCGACACGCTGTAGGGTCCACCTTGTACGTGAATGTTCGCTTCGTTGGAAATGAGTTAGTCATCGTACGTAGGTCGAGATGCTAGAGGAGAAATTAACGAGTAAATTGGAAAAATTGACTGATGTGAAGGGAAACGAAGACCGATGCTTAAGTAGTCTGATGATCTGAACGGACCAGTCGGCTGCAACTATTTCTCAGCCAACAGCTAGCTTATGGGTAGCAGTTGTGTTACAAACCAACCTTTAGGCAATTGGATTGACCTAAGGATTAGATCGTCGACTAAGGAACGCTAGAAGCGTGACGCTGTGATGTTCCGCCAGTATGACGTAACCTGGAAGAGCTTAGACCTCCGCGCATTTTATCGTGCCTTTATTGCTAATGTAACACCTATCGCGATATTTATTATAGTATTAGTGTTCTAGCACCTACGCTAACTAAGGAAAGCATTATTAGTAAGTAACCTACGCAAAACCTGCGCTAAATATAAGTATTAATAAACTAAGTATTATTCTTATTATATAATATAGCTACCTACCTTCTAACTATCTACTCTAGTATAAAGTAAGTACTATTACCTAAGCTAATAGCTACTCTATTAAGTAGATTTAAGAAAATCTTAAGATAGTTATTATATTCTTTATATATATCTTTTAAAGAGGCTAGAAACTTTAGAGTACCTAAGAGTAAAGAATACTATTAAGGTTATATATTAAGCAAAGCTTATAAGCACTATTTAATTAGTTTTTAAAGATAAATATTATTAGAGAAACTAAAAAAAAGTTATACTAAGAAGTATAGATATAATCTATCTATCTTAAAGGTAAGAGTAATAATAAGTAGTATAGAGTAGACTATCTAGCTTAAGAGTTAAGTTAAGATCTAATATTATAGATTAATACTTAGGTTAAATATAAACTATAAAGGTTATATTTCTACTTATTATATACTATAAAGAGTATAGTAGCTTACTAAGCTTAATATAAGCTTTTTAAGCTAGGCTTACTAAGCTTAATATAAGCTATATAAGCTCTATATAAAACTTACTTTAGCTAAACTACTAAGTAGTAAGCTTTTTATATAACTTAAAATAAAACTATTCTATATAGAAAAGCTTATATAATATTATACTAAGTATATTAGTACTTATTAAGTATTAGTAGCTAGTTAGTTATAAAAGAAAGATTTTAATAATAGTATATAAGCTCTAGTTAAGAGTAATTCTATATTAATAGATATTTAATAGCTTACTTAGCTACTTAATTAGTAGCTTTAATAGTATAAGTAGCTTAATATTTTATAGTATAGTAATCTACTATTACTAGTAGTACTCTATTATAAATATTTTCTTTTTACTTACTATACTATACTACCTATATAAATATATATTAATATTTACTATACTAAAAGTATAATATAAGTATATAGTAAGTAGGCTAGCTAGGTAATTAGGCTACTTTAATAAGCTATAAAGCCTACTAATTATAATTATATAATACTACTATATTATACTATAATCTATAGTAGATATTATTTATTACTAATATCTACTATATCTTTTTTATATATATATAATTTATATTCTATCTTACTATAGTACTTATAGTACTTCTTACCTCTTTTACTTATACCTATCTAGGCTCTATTTTTATAAATCTTTTTCTTAATTTATACTCTAATATTATATTAAGCTATTAAATTTTTTACCTCTTTCTTTAATAGGTTTTTATCTTTTTAAACTTACTTTTTTTTATATAATTTATACTTAGAAGTAGCCTTATTTAATACTTTAAGCTATAGTACTTAAGCTACTAATAATATCTACCTATATAGTAGTATTATAGTACCTTTCTATAGCTAATTAATAATCTTTATTATTAGAGTTAGTAATAATTCTTAGTACCTTTAAATATAATTAAAAGTAATATTAATTTAGCCTTTATTTTATTAGTATTAGTAAGTATCTTAGAGTTCTAGTAGGCTTTTTTTAAAAAGAAATAGTATTAGTATATAATACTTTATATTAAGCTTTAATAGTATTACTAATAGATTATTAGGTACTAAGCTAGTTACTTAAAAGCTTAATAGAATATTTACTTATAAAAATATTTTATTTAATCCTTTTCTAAAAGTTATAATAAAGGCTTTTTTATTAATCTAGCTAATATAGTCTAGTACTAAGACTCTAATTTTCTTACTATATACCTACTTTAATAAAGTAAAATAACCTATATTAAGTAGCTATAGAATATAAGATAAGTATAAAAGTATATATAGAGTAATTATCTTATTTTTCCTATAAATCTTTTAAAAAGTAAGTAACTTATAGCTTTTATAGCTATTAAGTATTAGTAGTATATAACTACCTACCTTTTAGTCCTTAATCTACTTAATAAAGTACCTTAACTAAGCTACTCTAATATTATTTATAGTCTAGCTATTACTACTAACTCTAATATACTATTAAGGACTTAGGGTCGTACCGCATTTACTGCTCCTTTCGAACCCGCATACCACACCAATTTGGGTCTTGGCCTTGTACCGCTAACACTCGAGACGTTCACAAAAGCACCAGGCTTTCAGTTTACGGTGAAGTATGGTATAATGATGGTTGTGCTCCAGAATAGCTGCTTAACGTTGATTCTCATAATGCGCTCGTACTCTTCTTCGTCCATCTCTGCTGACGGTTGCGCCTTATGAAGCACGCCTGCGTTGTTGACAACGATGTCGAGTTTTCCGAAGGCTGCTAGGACGGCGTCCAGTGCAGCAATCCAGTCATCTTTACTGCTCACATCTCCATAGATGGCAACAGCGGACCCAGGCGGCAATGTTGCGATTATTTCTTTAGCAAGTCCTTCGTTGACATCCATCACGAGCACTTTGGCCCCATCAGCGACAAACTTAGCGACGATACCGGCGCCAAAGCCAGATCCGCCGCCTGTGACAATCGCGATTTTCCCGCTAAGTTTGCCCATGGTCCTGGTGTTGGTGCGAGAATGAGGGCACTTATCTTTTCAAATAGATTAAAGCGCGTCATTCAACTTGAGGCAGTAGAGACGGTAATGGGCCACGTGATGGGTTATCGGATGAGGAACATATTTTGCCACCATACCTCACGTGCCGGCGGCCGATCTTACACAGAAAGGATTATCCGTCGTGCTTTGGACTATCTCTAGGGCACATCATCCACCGACTTGAGCTGATAACATGGAACCCAATCAGGCCAGTGAGAGAAACTACGGTGTTCATGTTGTTGGATCGAGTTGCCACTGACGCAGATCACAGCTCTGTTCGCGGATGCGTGCACGGTCCTTCCGCTGGCTTGTTCGCGAATCGCCCCTTTAATCCAAAGCTGGAACGGAACGGCAGAGGAGAGTGGGGTCGTGCATCGCGCACACGTACAGCGGCGCAACATTCGGTTCCGCCGGATTTTCCCACCTGATGTTCCCACCGGATCTACCCACCGGATCTCCCCACCGGAATGCCCCTACAAGTGGCATGCATCTCGATCGTAATTGTTATTGCTACCCGGTAGCTGGTCAGTGGATCGATCACACATTGCAAGAGTGGGTTGAGCATTGAAATTTCTGAATCCATGTCGACTGTTGGTTGGATCAGGAACTCGCTTTTTACGGGTGCTCGATGGTTACATTTGATTGATAATTCCCCGACTGACCTCGTGTTTTGCTGTCTACGCAATCGTCTTTGACAACTTCGCTATCAGAAGCGAGCGAACATTCATCACTACAACCATGGCAGAGAGACCTATACCCCCTTCCGCTGCGACACAGAAAATTCCCTATCAGGGCGATCCGCTGCCGAACGTTTCTGACGATTTGGTCGTGCCCCATACCCTTCAGCTTACATTCGAGGAGAAGCTCTGGGTTCCCCAGTCAAAGGACGTCTGGTTTCGTCCACTTTTGCTCAATGTCAGCCAGGGATACTTTGTCAACCTGTTGCGTGTACGCAAGAGTGGCATCCTCTCGCGGCATAGGCACGCAGGTCCTGTTCACGCAACTGTGTTAAAAGGGCGATGGCATTATCTTGAGCATGAATGGTGGGCAGAGGAGGGGAGCTACGCCTTTGAGCCCCCAGGCGATATTCACACGTTGGAAGTTCCGGACGGGGTGGACGAGATGGTTACGCTGTTTCATGTGACAGGTGCCTACATCTATGTGGATGAACATGGCAATCCAGAAGGGATTGAGGACGTTTTTAGCAAGCTCCAACTTGCAAAAGCTCATTATACCAAGATTGGACTCGGCGAGAGTTTTGTGAAACAGTTCATACGTTGAGCTATTGAGTAGACAGAAAGTAATGATATATGCCTTATTCTTAGGTACACAGAATGACAAGGACATTACAGAAAATCGAACTATCTGCACTGATTTTCGGCCATGCGCTCATTGTGATTGAGCACGATCAGGAAGTCCCCTGAGACACGCCATCCAGTTGTAACAACCATTCTTGGCGAGTTGAGAGCGCTAGAAGAGTGTTTTTAGACCATCAAGATGAATACATTACCGCGTGCTCGTGGGAGTCGGACATAAAGATTCCAAGCTGGCGTGGAGATGCTGACAAACTTTAGTTGATCTGCTGAGCCTGCAGTGCATAATCAGGGATGCTATCAGAGAATATCAAGCTTAGCAGCTACGTGGCAATACCAAGTGGGCTGCTTAGAAATGTAAGAAGAGGCTCCCCCGTCTGAATTTTAGCTCTGCCCACTAGTCTCTGGGGGATCCATACCGAGAAAGTGACATGTCCTAATCTGGTGTGCGAGTCAGTAAGTGGTCTGCTCGATGGTGACAAATCTACCTACCCTACGCTAATGTTTTGGCAAGTCATTTTTCAAAGATTTACGTCACTGTTGGAACATTCGGAAAGCAGGGGTTTGGCTATAAAGATCCAAACTCCGCTCGTGCAATATTTCACACTTCACTGCCAACTTCAGCTGACGAACTGCCCTTCCACGCTCACTACGCTTTTACACAATTCAAGCTTGCTCGTAGCCAGAGGCGTGATAGTGGACAACACCATGGCTCATACTGACCATACTGACCATACCATTACGGAAAAGATGCTGGGAGAAACACGCCTGATTAACAAAGCTGCGTCTGGTGTAAGTTTCTTCCTTGGGTATTCTTAGGTGTCCTGCTGAAATGCTCAGATCTCGTACTTTACCCCAGAACAAGATCCACCGGCAGGAACTGCCATTGGAATGCAAGATGGTAGCTCAGAAATCCCTAAGCTTTTCACTCCACTTAAGCTTCGAGGGCTCGAGCTACAGAATCGTATAGTGCTTTCACCTCTTTGTCAGTACTCTGCCCAAGACGGTCACCAGACAGCATGGCATCTTGTACACCTTGGCGGTATCATTCAGCGTGGAGCTGGTCTCACGTTTGTGGAGGCTACTGCCGTCCAGCCTGAGGGTCGTATCACACCAGAAGACTGCGGCCTTTGGAAGGACTCCCAGATGGAGCCGCTCCGCAAAGTCGTTGAATTTGCCCACTCGCAGAATCAGAAAATTGGTATCCAGCTTGCACACGCCGGCCGTAAGGCTAGTACCGTGGCTCCGTGGCTAAGCAAGGGCGATGTCGCTGGAAAGGATTTAAACGGTTGGCCTGACAGTGTATACGCACCTTCCGCCATTCCTCTCAACGATCGTCATTGCCAGCCTAGGGAGATGACAAAGGAAGATATCGAGAGCTTCAAGACTGCATTCAAGCTAGCCACTGAGCGAGCTATTAAGATTGGCTTCGACACAATTGAGATTCACAACGCTCATGGATATCTCTTGCACTCTTTCTTGTCGCCCGCCTCCAACAAGCGCACCGACGAGTATGGAGGCTCTTTCCAAAACCGTACTCGCCTGACCCTTGAGATCGTAGAGATTGTTAGGAAGATAATTCCTGAGGATATGCCCCTTGTTCTCCGTATCAGCGCTACCGACTGGCTTGAAGAATCCGGCATCGAGGGCTGGACTCTTGACCAGACCGTCAGGCTCGCTGAGATCCTCGCGTCTAAGGGCGTTGACTTACTTGATGTCTCATCTGGGGGTCTTCACGAGAAGCAACACATTCACAGCGGACCTGGATACCAAGAACCCTTTGCTAAGGCCGTTAAAGATAAAGTTGGCGACAAGATGCTTGTTGGTACTGTGGGCTCAATTACTAATGGCGACCAAGCCAACAGGTACCTTGAAGAAGATCACTTAGACGTCGCATTCGTTGGCCGCATGTTCCAAAAGAATCCGGGAATCGTATGGGCATTCGCTGATGACCTTGGCGTTGAGGGTCGATGGGCAAATCAGATCCGATGGGGGTTCAAAGGCCGCGGAAAAAAGTAAGTCGCTTGCCTAATCTACGTCGCTCATTCACTTTTCTTTGCAATTATCATCAAAAGAGCTTGAGCCAATATCTTTGTATTTGACGAGGGATTGTCGATCTGTCTTGGATTAGAAATCTAATGCTCATTCTAGGGACGAAAATATAAAGCCTAATCAGTTTGCAAATGAGGGTGATTTCATTCTACATCAGGGCAGGTAGATGCAGTTCCCCTTTTAAAAGAGTAAGATCTGCGTTACTCTCTGTCGCATTAGGTCTATAGAGATAGGTCCTACTAGGCTAAGTATTAATTATTTTAAGAGTTAGTACGCCTATTCCTATATATATTCTATTAAGAATAGTTTTCTCTATAGTTTAGTTAGAGGCTATCTATTAAATTAATAGTTTTCTTTTAAACCCTAGCTAATATAAGGTAATAGGGGACGCGTCCCCTATAATTAAAAATAGTTAGTATTAGGATTTTTACTTAATCTAGAAGTAAATTTTAGTAGCCCCCTATATTTCCCTAATACTACTATCCTATTAAGATTATATACCTAGATAGAAAATTACTTTATATAAACTTAAATTATATATAATATAAAGTATTAGCAAGCTAGCTATACTAGCAAGCTAGCTACTTTTCCTTAGCACTATAACTTCTCTATATAATATAATATGCAATAATAATATAAGTAGAAATTAAGGTAATAAGAAGGTAGACTTACTCTTACCCTTTAGGTATATACTAAGAGATAGTTTTAAAGTATATAATATACTACTATAGCCTATAATATATATTATTAATAGCTCTCTAACTAGCTCTATAAAATTATATTTTAATAAGAAGCACTACTAAATAGCTAGAAGCTCTCTATAACTAAAGAGTAAATAATTATATAATATATACTTAAGCTTAACTTATATAGATTTGCTCCTAGGCTCTCTAAAGTAGTAGATATTATAGATAAACTTCTTGCTATATATAGTAGGACACCTATTAGTAAGAACTAGGTAGAGCAATTTGTCTAGTAAATAGAGAAGCTTAAAATAGCCTTTAATTAAGTAAAGAATTATTAGAGAATACTCTAGGAGGAGCTAGAAGTTATTAATACCTAGTTTAAGCTTATATAGGATATAAAAGATAAGTATAAGGTTTAAGATATAGATATCTATAACTTTAATAAGACTAGCTTCTAGATAGGAATTATTAGCTTAATAAAGGTTATTATAGGTTTAGAGAAATATATAAGACTAAACCTTATCTAGCTAGGTAATTAGGAGTAGGTTATAGCTATATAAAGCATCTATACTACTAGGTATACTATCCTACTCTTTATTATCTATAAAGGGTATATATATATCTCTACCTAGTATAAGAAGACTAATATACTATATAACTAGAAGCTCTCTATCTTTAAGAATAGATAGATAAATAATTAGCTTAGCCTAGAGTAGTTAAAGTACTTTAACTAGTATATAAAGGCGTATTAAAAGAGCTTATATAGGCTACTTATTTTAGATAGCTATAAGAGCTACCTTAACTAAGAGTTTAAGAATTACTACTTAGAAAATATAATTCTTACCTTTTATATACCTACTTACTTATTATATATCTTCTAGCTACTTAATATAGTATATTTCTTACTATTAAAACTAAAGTACTCTTAATACATATAAGCCTTAGTATCTAAATATATCTACTATATTAATAAAGAAGGCTTTCTTTTAGCCTTTAAAGATATATTTTTTAATATATTTATATATAAGAACTATAAGAAGGCCTTTAAGGCTTTAAAGCTTATGCCTATTAATATATAGTATATCTTAGATTACCTAGATATTTAGATTTAAATACTACTACTAGCACCCCTACTAGAAATACTATAGTAATTCTAAATACTAAGTAATTTATATAAATTTAGGTTATAGGTAAGGCTTATAAGGTAAGCTATTATATAATTACTAGAAGTAGTAAGAAAGAGGTTTATATAGCTTATAGAAGGTAGTAAGCTTATACTATATAAGAATATTATATTAGTAGCTTATATTTATAAGCTTAAAGAGTAATTAGTAGTACTTACTAAGTATAAAACCTAGAAAAGAAAGTAGATCTAGTATAGTAGTATAGTAAAGTATAGTAAAGTAGTAGCTTCTATAGCTAAAAGTATAGCTATAGCTTATATAGTATTAAAAAGAGTATATATTAGAAGTAATTATAAAAGAGCCTATCTAGGTTAATAGTACTATAGTAACTATAGGAAGACTAAGTATAATATATATATATACTAGGAAGATATAGAAGAAGATTCTATATCTAATAAAAGTATATTATATAACGTAAAGCATCAGCGAGCCGGCCACACCAGCGAGCCGGCCACTTTTCCTTGGCACTGCAACTTCTCCGTACAATACAACATGCAACAACAACACAAGCAGAAATTAACTCAACAAGAAGGTAGACTTACTCTTGCCCTTCAGGCGTACACTAAGGGACAGTTTCAAAGCGTGCGACGCGCTGCTGCAGCCTACAACGTACGTCATCAACGGCTCTCTGACCGGCTCCACAAAATCACATTTCGACAAGAAGCACTACCAAACAGCCAGAAGCTCTCTGTAACTGAAGAGCAAACAATCGTACAATATATACTCGAGCTTGACTCGCGCGGATTTGCCCCTAGGCTCTCTGAGGTGGCAGATATTGCAGATAAACTTCTCGCTGTACGTGGTGGGACACCTGTTGGCAAGAACTGGGCAGAGCGATTCGTCCGGCGAACAGAGAAGCTTAAAATGGCCTTCAATCGAGCAAAGGATCGTCAGAGAATACTCCAGGAGGAGCCAGGAGTTATCAACGCCTGGTTTAAGCTCGTACAGGACACAAAAGACAAGTATGGGGTTCAGGATGCGGACATCCACAACTTTGATGAGACCGGCTTCCAGATGGGAATTATTGGCTCAATGAAGGTTGTTACAGGTTCAGAGAGACGTACAAGACCAAACCTTATCCAGCCAGGTGATCGGGAGTGGGTTACAGCTATACAGAGCATCTGTGCTGCTGGGTATGCTATCCCACCCTTTATTATCTACAAAGGGCGTGTACACATCTCTGCCTGGTATGAGGAGACCAACATACCGTACGACTGGAAGCTCTCTGTCTCTGAGAACGGATGGACAAACAATCAGCTTGGCCTAGAGTGGTTGAAGCACTTTGACCAGCATACAAAGGCGCGTCAAAAGGGCTTGTATAGGCTGCTTATTTTGGACGGCCATGAGAGCCACCTTAACCAAGAGTTTAAGGATTACTGCCTGGAAAACATGATCCTTACCCTTTGTATGCCTGCTCACTCATCACACATCCTCCAGCCACTTGATGTGGTGTGTTTCTCACCGTTGAAACTAAAGTACTCTCAACGCGTACGAGCCTTGGCATCTAAACGCGTCTACCACATTAACAAAGAAGGCTTCCTTCCAGCCTTTAGAGACGCATTTTTCGACGTGTTTACGTACGAGAACTGCAAGAACGCCTTTGAGGCTTCAGGGCTTGTGCCTATTAACGCGCAGCGTGTCTTGGATCGCCTGGATGTTCAGATTCGTACGCCACCACCAGCACCCCTACCAGAAACACCATGGCAATCCCAAACACCAAGCAATTCACATGAATTTGGGTCACAGGCAAGGCTTGTAAGGCAAGCTATTGTACAATCACCAGAAGTAGCAAGAGAGGGGTTTGCACAGCTTGTAAAAGGTGGTGAGCTTATGCTACATGAGAATGTTGTACAAGCAGCTCGCATTCGTGAGCTTGAAGAGCAATTAGCAGTACTTACTAAGCGCAAAACCCGGAAAAGAAAGCAGATCCAGCATGGTGGTACAGTAGAGTATGGTGAAGCAGCAGCTTCTATAGCTGAAAGCGCAGCTGCAGCTCGTACAGTGTTAAAAAGAGCGCGTGTTAGGAGTGGTCATGAAAGAGCCCAACCAGGTCAACGGCACTGTGGCAACTGTGGGAAGACTGGGCACAACGCGCGTACGTGCCAGGAAGATGCAGAAGAAGATTCTGCATCTGATGAAAGTGCGTCGTACGCAGGTTCTGCAAAGGGTAGTGAGTAATTGCTTATCCTGTATGTAGTGTTCGCAGTGCCAAGGAAAAGTGGCCGGCTCGCTGGTGTGGCCGGCTCGCTGATGCTTTACGTTATAGGTTCTATAAAGGGTAGTTAGTAATTACTTATTCTATATATAGTGTTTATAGTACTAAAGAAAAGTAGCTAGCTTGCTAGTATAGCTAGCTTGCTAATACTTTATATTATATATAGGTAGTATAGTAGTTTAGTATTAGTAACTTACTTAGAGTAGTAACTTACTTATAAAATATATTATACTATTAAATTTATTATATATTATATCTAATAATAGTAGGTTTATTAAAGATTTTAGATATAAGTTAAATTACTTTTTTAAATAAGTTTAAGCTTTTAAACTATAGGTTAATATTAAAGCTAGATTAGTTATTATAATAGTATTAAAAAAAAAGTTTAATCTAAATAAATACTTTACTATATATAAGTTATAGCTTATTATAAAAGAAACTTATTAGTCTATAAAGACTTTATCTTTTTAGAATATAAAGTAGAAGTTATACTATATAAGCTAGTTCTCTAGCTTTCTATAATTACTATTATAGAAGTTAGGCTTTATAACTTAAATAATAGAAATATACTTATTTTCTTAGTTATTATTCTTTATTTAAGTATTATTAAACTTATAAAAGTAGCTTAGATTCTTAAGGTTATAGATATTTTAAAAAGTATATAAAATATTAAGGTATACTTTAAGTAAAGCTTATAACGTACCCCACGGGCGAGTCGGACAACGGGCGAGTCGGACACTTTTGCCAAGCCCCCACCAAACACCTTCTCCTACACCAATGTCTTCTCAACAACACTATTTAGACGCGTCAAAAGAAGCGCAGATACAGCTTGCGCTCCAGGCTCTTAAACAAGACGTGACTCTATCTCTGCGACGCGCTGCTGCTATCTACAAGGTCCCTCGAAGCACACTAAGCGACCAGCGCACTGGACGACCTTCACGCGCTGATTCTATGGCCAACTCACGGAAGCTGGACAACAATGAGGAGGAGGTGATTGTTAAACATGTTCTTGAGCTAGATGCGCGAGGGTTTTCCCCTCGGCTCTCAGATGTGGCTACTATGGCCAATTCTTTGCGCGCTGAGCGTAATCTGGGTCCTGTCGGCGTAAACTGGCCCAGTACGTTTGTTAAGCGACACCCAGAACTTAAAGTCAAGTTTAATCGCAAGTACGACTACAAGAGAGCTCTCTGTGAGGATCCTGAGGTTCTGCAGGGCTGGTTTGGCCTGGTAGCCAACACCAAAGCCAAGTATGGCATCCAGGATGAAGACACGTACAACTTCGACGAGACAGGCTTCATGATGGGCCAGATCTCCCCAGGAGCAGTTGTTACAGCTTCAGAACGACGAGGTCGGCCAAAAGCTATCCAGCCAGGCGACCGGGAGTGGGCTACAGCTATAGTAGGCATCAATGCCAAAGGATGGGCCATTCCTGCCTTCCTTATCTTCAAGGCCCACCACCACCTCTCTGCCTGGTACAAGGAGGAAGAACTGCCTCAAGACTGGGTTATCGGAGTCTCTGATAACGGCTGGACTACCAACAAGCTTGGTATGGACTGGATAAACCACTTTAACAGGCATACAAAGGAGCGTACTGTTGGCACCCACCGTTTGCTCATTATTGATGGTCATGAGAGCCACGACTCTCTTGAATTCCAGCAATACTGCAAGGATAACAAGATTATTGCTCTTTGCTTGCCTCCTCACTCATCGCACCTTACACAGCCTCTTGATGTGGCTTGTTTTGCTGCTTTGAAGAAGGCGTATGGGCGCCAAGCCGAAATACTCATGCGCAACCAGATCAACCACATTACAAAGACAGAGTTCCTACCATGCTTTATACGCGCCTACAACGCTGCAATTACTTCTAGCAACATTCAGGGAGGGTTCCGAGGCGCTGGACTGGTCCCGTTTGATCCACAACGGGTTATAAGCAGCCTCGATGTGAAGCTGCGCACGCCATCACCACTACTACCTGTCAACAACGAGCTCTGGCAGTCGCAAACCCCAAGCAACACCCTTGAACTTGGGTCGCAATCAACGCTTGTAAAGACAAGGATTCAGAGGCATATAGATAGCTCGCCTACCTCTATGGTTGAGGCGTTTGAGAAGGTGGCAAAGGGGGCAGCAATAATTGCGCATAAGCTAGTGTTGGCGCAACAGGAGATTACTCAGCTTCAAGCTGCTAATGAGGCAGCCACACGACGAAAATCACACAAAAGAAAGCGGGTTAAGAAAGAAGGTACTCTAGTAGTTAAAGAGGGCCAGCGATTAACAGCTCTAAAAGAGTTTGGGGCGCGTGGTGATGGTAAGAAGGCAAAGAAGCAGGTGCGCGCTGAAGTAGGTGAGCCCTCCCAAAGGCGCTGTGGACGGTGTAATCAGACAGGACATAACGCGCGAACGTGTAAGAAAGAGATAGAAGTAGTTTCTGAATAGTATTACAGACTATACTGCACGTTGCAGCACCAAACTAGGTTGTTTTGTGTTATAATGGGGTGGAGTTTGGTGGGGGCTTGGCAAAAGTGTCCGACTCGCCCGTTGTCCGACTCGCCCGTGGGGTACGTTAAGTACTACTTAATTAGTTTTTAGAAATAAATACTTTATAAGAAACTAAAAGAAAGTTATACTAAGAAGTATAGATATAATTTATTTATTTTAAAAGTAAAAAGTAAATATAAGTAACGTACCTCACGGGCTAATGGATCACACGGGTCAATGGATCACTTTTGCCAAGACCCTCCCCCATCACACCCTACTTTGGCCCGCATCCGCCCACTATGGGCCAGTATAAGGTAAAACAACCTGTGTTATTACTCAGAGACTACATCTGCATTATTCTTGCACGTTCGCGCGTTGTGCCCTGTCTCTCCGCACGTTCTACACCGTCGTTGGGATGGTTCGCCTCCTTCAGCGCGCACCCTCTTCTTTGGCTTCTTACCATCACCACGAGCGCCGAACTCCTTTAGGGTAGCTACACGCTGGGATTCCTCAATTGTAAGGGTCCCTTCCTGCTGAATCCGCCTTCTTTTATGTGATTTGCGTTCTGTTGCAGCTGCTAGAGCTGCCTGAAGCTCAGTGCGCTCTTTCTTAAGCAAAGCCAGCTCGTGCGCTACCTTTGCTCCCCCCTTTGCATAGTGCTCAAGCGCGCTATAAACAGAATTTGGTGAGCTGCCCTGCTGCCTCTTATACTTGTCTCGAATTAGAGTCGATTGCGACTCAAATTCAATTAGGTTTTTGGGGGTTTGGGATTGCCACAGCTCGTTGTTGGTGGGTAGTTGGGGTGATGGAGTCCGCAGCTTCACATTAAGGGTTGAAATGACCCGTTGTGGGTCAAAAGGGACCAGTCCAGCCCCTCGGAATCCTCCTTGGATGTTGCTAGAGGTAATAGCTTTATTGTAGGCCTCTTTGAAGCATGGCAGGAACTCATGCTTTGTAATGTGGTTAATCCGGTTGCGCATAAGCCCTTCGGCTTGGCGCCCGTACGCCTGCTTCAAAGGGCCAAAACAACCCACATCAAGAGGCTGGAGGAGGTGCGATGAGTGAGCAGGCATACATAGAGATATAATCTGGTTGGCCTTGCAGTATTGGTGGAAATCCAGTGATAGGTGGCTCTCGTGGCCGTCTACTATAAGCAGACGGTAGGTCCCTACAGTGCGCTTCTTTGTATGCGCATCAAAGTGCCTTAGCCAGTTGGAACTAAGCTGATTTGTAGTCCAGCCGTTTTCAGAGACTCCAATAACCCAGTCTGGCGGCAGAGTTTGATCCTTAGTCCAGCTTGACAGGTGGTTGCGTGCCTTGAAGATGATGAAGGCTGGAATAGCCCACCCTGTGGCATTGATGCCCTGGATGACTGTTGCCCACTCTCGGTTGCCCGGCTGGACTTGCTTAGCTCGTCCTGGCTTCTCTGCATCTGTGACAACTGCTCCAGGGGTTATCTGGCCCATCATGAAGCCAGTCTCGTCAAAGTTGTACGTGTCGTCGTCTAGTATACCATACTTGGCTTTGGTATTGGCTACTAGGTCGAACCAGGCCTGTATAACCTCTGAATCCTCACAGAGGGCTCTCTTATAGTCATACTTGCGACTAAACCTCACTCTGAGCCTTGGTTGACGGTTGACGAACGTTTTGGGCCAGTTCTGCCCAACATGGGGCATTCCACGCTCTTCTCGCAGCAAATTGGCCATTGCAGCCACATCTGAGAGGCGGGGAGGACTTCCTCGGTCAATGAGGTTAAGAACGTAATCAACAATCGCCTCCTCCTCATACTTGTTCAGATTCCGTCGATTGGCCATAGAATCAGCTCGTGAGGACTGTCCAGCGCATCGCCGGCTTAGGGTACTTTGGGGCACGTTGTAGATAGCTGCAGCGCGTCGCTGTGAGATTTTCGCGGCTTGTTTGATAGCCTGAAGCGCAAGCTGTATCTGACGTTCTTTTGACGCGTCTAATTGAGGTTGGTGGGGGGGCATTTAGATGGTGATGGTGTTTTGGTGTGGTCTTGGCAAAAGTGATCCATTGACCCGTGTGATCCATTAGCCCGTGAGGTACGTTAAGTAAATTACTTTTACTAAGCCTCTACTAAAGTACTTTCTCTATACTAATACCTTAATAATAACCTATTATTAATATATTAAGAATGCTTAGATATAGCGACGTACACGGCCACAGTATTGAGCCGTCTCGGCCAAATTCTGAGGAGCCCGCGGCTTCCGCACGTGCCGAGCCTGAGACCTGCAATCTGAAATCGAGGACAAGTGGCGGCGGGGAGCAAGGCCTCGAGCGAAATTGGGAAGTAGAATGTGTTTGAATGCATTTCACAAAGCCGGGATCCATATGTCTTTAGGAAACTGACAGGAACACCAAAGGCATGAGAGAAACGGACGAGAAACGTCGCAGAAGAAGCCTAGTTCTAATCACCTCTTGCCGGCAAGGGTTGCGATTTGACCGGCCGACCTAGTAAGTTTTCAAGCCCGGCAAAGCAAGCATGTGGACTGAAGGATACGGCTCATCAGTCCATTATCAGGTCTGAACAAAGTCGCTGATATGCATCTTTTGTCGCCCCATGTTGATGATGCGGAAATCCGCGACGCACAATACTGTGAACGTAACATGTGCGATCGCTAAAACAAAGCTTGTGGGCCTGATCCTGGGCGAAAGTTGCTTTGCTCGGCAGGAGGCTGGTTACTGCCGGTCTGCAGTGTTGACGCGCTTAGGTGTCACGTGCTGGATGGACGGGTTACTTGGAACTCCACGTAGCCTAGAGATAGTCTTCAGACTTATACATAAACATATTCATGAGACCCACAGATCCTCACATTAGGCATCCAACAGTGACGCCAAAAAGGAGATACCGACGCAAGAAGCCGGAGACACTCAAGCAGATATCATAACGACGAACAGAGCATCAACGGCCCACCCATTGGACGCTCCCACGACGAGATCGCGTCACTTCAGGTTGCCCGCATCTCAGACCGCGTTCTCGGGGATTGTGACAGCCCACTAGCGTCATTCGGACTCAAACTAGCTGCGTTCGGCCGCACGACCAATCAGCGCTCACGCACCTGCGATATCCCCGACTTTTGTCATAGAGGCAGCCACGTCGGAGCCGAGAGGATGAAGTATAAGGACGAAGTCTTGGAAGACGAGATGAATCTAAGCAAGCACAGGAGTTTCAAGAGTACAGCGAAACTTTGAGTATACAGCGCTTTCACAATGTCTACTACTAACTCTGTTGACGAGAAGCCCGGCAAAACGGACGGCCAGATTGACTACGATGGTGATGTCGAGTTCAACCCTAGGTCACTCAAGTTCCTCACAGTCATGATCGGCATGTACATGTCTATCTTCCTCGTCGCCCTGGTACGTCATCGATAAACCTAAGAGTCACCAACAGCTAACAGGTTCAGGACCGCACAATTGTCGCCATCGCCGTCCCCGCACTCACCAACACTTTCGAATCAATCAGCGACATTGGCTGGTACGGATCAGCCTACTTGCTAACCGGCGCATGTTGCAATCCGATCTTCGGCCGCATTTATCAGCTTTACTCCACAAAATGGGTCTTCCTTGCAGCTATTACAATCTTCGAGATCGGGAGTGTTGTGTGCGGCGCTGCTCCCTCGTCTGTGGCATTCGTCATAGGAAGAGCAGTCGCGGGCATCGGATCGGCGGGGATCTTCCAGGGCGGCATGATGGTCATCGTGGGCCTTGTGCCGTTGAGTAAGCGACCGATGTACACAGCTGTCTTCGGCATGTCGTTCGGTGTTTGCGCGGTGCTGGGTCCCATCGTAGGTGGCGCATTCGTGGATCATGTGTAAGTTGTGCTGCAATCAGACTCTACCGATATTCATCTGACAACACCAGTTCATGGCGTTGGTGCTTCTACATCAACCTGCCTGTCGGGGCCGTCACGATGGCTATCCTGTTCTTCTTCTTCCATATGGACTCCCCGAGCCGCGAGAACCTGTCCGTCATGCAACAGATCCAACGTCTTGACCCTATCGGCATCTTCTTCCTCGTCCCCAGCATTATCTGTCTGGTCCTCGCGCTGCAATGGGGCGGCACAACATACTCTTGGTCCTCACCTACCGTGATTGGCCTGCTCGTCACATTTTTCATCCTGCTCATCATCTTTGGCGTCGTCGAAACCTTGACACCCGAAACCGCCATGGCGCCTCCCCACGTCGTCCTCAACAGGAACGTAGCAGGCAGCATGATCTTCACATTCCTGAACTACGGCTCCGTCATGGCCATTGCATACTACCTTGCGATCTGGTTCCAGATCGCTAAGAGCCTGAGCGCAATGCACGCGGGCATCAACACGATCCCGATGGTCATTGCGATGGTGGTCGCGAGCGTCATATCCGCGAAGATCACTCAGCGCATTGGGTACTACATCCCCGCCATCATCGTCTGCACGGTTCTCAGTTCCATTGGCGCGGGGTTGCTGAGCACGATGACGAGGTTCTCGGACCACAGCTACTGGATCGGATACCAGGTGTTGTTCGGTATGGGCCTGGGGTGTGGCGGCCAGCAAGCGAGTCTTGCGATGCAGAAGGCGTTGCCCAGAAAGGATGTGAGCCTTGGCCTAGCGCTGGGTTTCCTGATGCAGCAGCTCGGCGGTGCTGTCTTCCTCTCTGTTTGCCAGAACGTCTTTGCGACCAAGTTGGTGAACCGCCTCTCTGGTGTTGCGGGCCTTGATCCAATGCAGATTGTTAGCTCGGGCGCGACTGCGATTCGCACGATTGTGCCGGCCGATGAGGTTGATGTGGTCGTTGATGCGTATAGCTTTGGCATCACGAGGTGTTTTCTGATCGGGGCGGCGCTAAGTGCGGCCACTATCCTTGGTGTTGCGCTGATGGAATGGAAGAGCATCAAGGACGACAAGAAGGACAAGGTGGCTGGCACAACGAAGGTTTGAGCGTACCGAGGGGATTGGCCCTGAGCTTCGAGCTACCTTTTAAGAAATATGGCATTTCCTTATTGGGAACTCAAGATACTATTTCCTTATTCAGATCATTGATTCTATCGGAGATCTTACTGGCGGTCCCATCTCTGCTATGCTCAAGTATCAAAGCCGTATGTCCTTCGAACGACGTCCGCCACCTTCTCTGCCACGATATGCACCGTGTTAAGAAGTATAGCCAGATTGGCCTGATGACCGGTAGTGAATTTCTAACAGGTATCGAGAGAGAGGCGTAGGTTGGCTGTAACTTCACTGCTCCTCTCTTCATGTCCAATGGCGCCTTACCATCATGAGAGGCCTACAAAGCCTTCCGCATCCAAGTATTGATTGTAATGAAGCCTGGCCTTAAACTCTTTGCGAGCGCCGATGAATATACGATCCACTGGATGCGGATCTCCAGGTACGCTGACCTGGACAGGGCCGTAACGTTATGCGGACGCAATGACCTCAGAAGAGTAGTTTTATCCATCAGGAGGTGCAACGGGCCGAGATTTCCGGTGATATCATGGCTCGAGTGAGGATCGACACCATCCCGCGTCGCCAGTGATGTTCGCCCAGCGATCGTACACATCATTCAAAGCAAGATTTTATAACATATGATTGACCATACTGCTGTGGTCACGGACGTGACCTTTTTCGAGATTGATGAATCTATTGTTATGACTCAGCTGCGATGCCGTTGTGTTGTTCTGGTCTGCGCCAGTGTTCTGCAGCTCTGTAGTCGGGAAAGGTACTATGGCATCAGGGTAGTTGCGATCATCGCCCCAGTGATATTCGGACGTTCTGATAGTCGCGCTACTACAACGAGGCTGGCCATACCACCACCGAACACCACGAAGTTTTCTTCGGTAGTGGTCAATTTTCAAAGGGTCGACAAGATCCTTAGGTAGCAAGACGTCCGACGGGAAACACAGCAAGCAGTGCGGTCGTGAAAAGCTGTCTTCTTCATGGACAGGCAAGGCGGGTTGATCCAGGGATTGTGCACCATATTGGATTGATATATACGGGAGTGACCAGGTCATCACTTTAGCCAGATATCCGACAAGAAGTCGAGACAGCTCGAGCAAATGAACAAATTGATAGATGCAAGTGACTTCGGACTGAATACAATCCTATTGATCTTAATGCGCGATGCTGCGACGATAGCTTCAGCCTTCTTGGGAACCAGCAGTGGAGATTACGTCAGAACTTCATCAGCGACGATGGACGACACTTGAGAAATTCGTTGATCTCTGTCTGTGCCTACCTAAATTATGGTTGCAACTTGGGCTCCATGTTTTAAAGACGGCTTCTCGGGCAATGTAGCTCTTCAGCACATTGCCGATGTCGACCGCCACGCGGTCTACTTGGTCTGACAATCCCACGGCGACGGCACTTCGACATGAATGAAGTCAAGGGTTTTCATGACCGCAGCCTGTACGCGATTGACTGTGTGAAACACCACCAATCCTTGCTCTCCTTCTGCTCTCTATATTCGACGCGCTCATGAGCCTATAAACTGGCGGGAGCTTCGCGGAGAAGTGAGGTCTCCAATGTCGTAGCGCTAGTGTCAATACGTCTCTTGCATCAACACGTCGCCGTTATCTCAAAATGCAGCCCCTCCAGGCGTCCAATGCTCGGAGATAACATTCCAGAATGGCTCTTGATTGGCTCCTCCTCCGATACTGTCCGAACAACATCGGACTAGAGGCCAATCAAAACGAGCAAACTCTCGGGAATAAGATGACCCGACGGCGAGCCAGCATGCTCATAATCGCGCCCTGCCCAATGTCGACTCAATTTTACTCATACTCTAATCCTTGCTCACACAGTAAAGCCATCATGACTGACACACTTCGAAGAAGAAGGCGGCCAGCAATGTGAGTCTCGGTCCATGGCCTTTTTCGAGGTCAACGCTAACATTAGGTCAGATCCTGCGCGCTATGTAGACGACGGAAAATAAGATGCAACAAAGAGACGCCTTGCAGCAATTGTGTTCGCTCCAGAAATGCAGTGTGTGTGTACAAAACCTCTCCGTACCCCCTGCATGGTCACCCAATCACTATTGCACCTGCGCCTGCACCTGCGCAAATCGTGGCGCCTGTATCTGTATATGGACGCAGTACATTGGATGTCACTCCATCGTTATCACCAGAGCCTACTGTAGCCTCAGCACCACCCGATCAAGCCTCTATGGACATGGAGTCTATGAGGCTTAGGATACAGGAATTAGAGGAGCGACTCTCTCAAGCCAGCACGCCCACTTCCTCGGCACCGTCTGTGCCATCAAGTTCTGACCTCAACCTACCTTGGCGCAGCAGAGACCAAATGGCCTCCACACTTGGAGGCGCGTTCGATTTGGTCCAAGAAAGTCGACTCTTTGGGCAAGCCCAAGCAGTCGTCCGTAGCGTGGCCCACAAGAACCGCGTCTTTGGGCAGAGTCACTGGATCTCAAGTTTCACGCTGTTCCGAGACATAATCGATATGATAGAGCCATTCATGAGAACAAATTCGTCAAAGACGCTGTTTGGCGTGCAGCGAGCAAAGGTATTGGCCCGAACAATAAAAGCGCAACGGGCGCCCTTGTGGCCGCTTGCACCTACAACAGACATGCCTCTCAGACACATTTGCGATGTGCTTGTGGATGGCTACCTTCGTACCATCGAGACATTATATCGCATCGTTCACATCCCCTCATTTCGCAAAGACTATGAAGCTGTGTGGATGCCTGGAGCGCAGCCTGATACGGGGTTCATGGTGCAACTGAAACTGATTTTAGCCATCGGAGCAACCCTGTACGATTCCACATTTTCTATGCGCACCGAAGCTACGCGTTGGGTGTACGAAGCACAATCATGGCTCATGTCACCCGCCTTCAAGTCAAAGCTTGGCATCTGCTTCATACAGAACAACATTCTAGTCTTGATAGCTCGCGAGCTCGTCGACGTAGGTGGTGAGATGATCTGGATCTCCGCCGGGGCAGTAGTACGATCTGCCGTCTACGTGGGCTTGCATAAAGACCCAGATCAGCTGCGGAACATGTCAGCCCTGGATGCTGAGATGAGGCGGCGCTTGTGGAACACCATTTTGGAGGTTTCGCTACAGTCCAGTCTTGTCTCTGGCGGACCATGCTTCATCCAAATGAACGAATTCGACACGCAACCGCCCAGCAACTACGACGATGAAGACCTGGATGCTGCGGAACCCATGCCCAAGCCATCCGATCATTACACACGGAGCTCCGTTGCGATTGCGCTCAGGCAAACATTTCCAGCTCGTCTCGCCGTTGTGAAGTTTCTCAATGATCTGTTTTCGACCGGAACCTACCAAGAAACAGTCAGACTTGATGGCGAACTCAGGCAGGCCTACAAAGACGTCAGGCGCAAATTACAGTCTACTTCTGCAACTGCGCAGACCAAACCCAGAGACTTCGAGCTTCAGGCCGTCGACTTTGTACTGCACCGTTACATCTCGTCGCTACACGTGCCCTACTTCTCTGCATCGTTGCACGGAGCAACGTATGCGTACACACGTAAGTCCGTAGTGGAGTCTTCGCTGAAGCTATGGTCGCTAGCGGCATCCACCCGTGCCGTAACCAGCAATCCATCGTTCCCGTACATAGAGGGAGATCTACCAAGGCTTTGCAGGTGCGGCTCTGGTTTCTTCCGCGCCTTCGCTTTTCAATCCGCATCGCTACTCGGCGTTGAGCTCCGCGCATTGCATCAGGAAGATAGCATCAGCGAGGTCAATATCCGTCCTGACCTTGTTCATATTGTGGATGATGCTGCAGACTGGTATTTGCAATGCATCAGAGCTGGTGAGACGGGCATTAAGGGATACATGCTCCTCAGCCTACTGGCCGCACAGATCGATGCGCTCAAACGAGACGTACCGAAAGACGAGATGCCGCTCATCCTTATCAGGGCAGCAGAGCGCGCAGAGGGGGAGTGTCTGCCGCTGCTCGAGGAATTAGCGGGTTGCAAAAAGCCTGATGAAGAGGTGGATCCGTTCGTGAACATAGACTTCCAGCAGTCGGCGGGGTTTCTGGAGGATTGGGATACATTGATGGCGGATGTTTTTAACCTTGGGTCTGGGACACAGTGGGATTCTTTCTTGACCTGATAAGTAAGTCTTGTTCGTTTCGCATGTCTCATCTAAATCCTTGACTTCCGGTCATTTGACTCTGGTAGGGTCGTACATCAGTCTCAGCTAAACAGCGCCTATACTAATATTAATTTGAGTTTATTCGTATAAGCAAGAGCATATCTCTCTGTTTATTATACTACTATAGCTATAAGGGCTAGACACGTCTATTAACAACAATATAGATAGGGCCTATAAATACTCTAACTAAAAATATATAGTAGATGCTATTTAATTACTTCGTAGGCTGCATGGCGGACTCCTTGAGAGCAGCCCAAGAAGCATACTCCTTGAGAGCCGCGTTAGTGGCAAAAAAAGCCTTCTTGGGGTGATACTGTTCATCGAACATTAATGGCTTTGCGCCTGGTAGCCAGGTATAAAGATGCTTGTCCGTAAACCCCCAGAAGCTGATATCTGTTATTCCAGCAGTCAAAGCCTCATACAGAACAGAGCCGTAAATATTAGCCTGGACGTTGTTGTCAAAAACATGAACGTCCATCTCGGCGATAGAAACCTCCAGCCCTAGCGCTTTGTAGGAGTTCACTATGTCTGTTAGAACGCCTGGTTTAGGAGATACCAGCGTTATATGCATCTGCAGGGCAACTCCATCAATAGGGACCCCTTCTTTAACAAGACTAGCAACCAGATCGTAAAGTTCTTGGCGTTTACCAGCAAGTGATTCAACCTGATTTTCGTTGAGAAATAGCTTGGCAGACGGGCTCGCCGCTCGGGCTATGCGAAAGGCATCAGCAACATACGCAGGACCAAGCGCTTTGTAGAAGGCATTGTGCTGCAAGCCGCCCCCACTGGTCTCAAGAGCCTCGCTGATAACATCCCATCGGTCGACAGTGCTATTATAGCGGTGCATAATTGCCTCGAAATGAGTTCTCATTGCAGCACGGAATGCAGCCGGATCCGTGATGTTGAGAAGATAGTCCGGGTTGCAGCAACTTGATATAAGCCCATGTCCCTTTACTACCATGTCATTCTCGCCCGCAAAGTTTACAAGGCTGTCAATGGTGTCCCAGTTGTAATGGTCTTTAGTTGGGTGGATGAATGACCATTTGAGCTCATTCTCAGGTGAGATACTGCCGAACTGCTCAGCAACGACGGCTGCAAATTTAGGTTCATTGAGGTATTCCGGATTGATTGCTCCCGATCCGATAAGAACGTTCTGTTTGCTTGCCTCAAGCCTGAGCGGGTTCGTAGTGTTGTCAGGAGTCGGAATCGTTAGGTTGTTGGGTGAAGAGGGCGCGTCGATTCCTTTAGCAGGTACGATTATGGCTGGCATAATCATTGCGGTGCTGAGCACCTTAAAAAGGTTGTGGATTGACATGGTGTTTATTTTTGATAACTTGGAGATAATTTTTGTTGTTTGTGGTTATAAGACGATCTCTGTACGTGCTTTGTTCTTCTCTTGCGAACACCTTTATATGTTGACCGCGAAATACCATACATCAACGTCTTACCACCTTGTGAACACAGCGTCGACTACTCGCCCCTATGACGGGGCAGTGGTGTTAGTCTGCGAAAAGACTGCAATGCGATCGCAGTAGCATCTCTAGCGCGTGCATCACCATTTCCTCATCGAGGGCGTGCAGGGCAAAAGCATGCATCTGAGACAGTAAGATTGGCGCGATCCAAGTAGCCAAGCGCTATGCAGCGGTGAAGTTGGGGAAAGCGTATTTCGTTTGGTTGATACGTCATGGAATACTAAATGCGATCCAAGGTAGTGCCCCGTATCACGTATCTCGTACGTCGGTTGTCACGTATTCGAGACCTTCATTTCGGTAGAAATCCCGAAGCAACGCCGAAGCTTCGAAGTCTATCGCCCAGCGGATAGTCCATATACTGTTATCTGGACAGCCGCACCCCGTCGTGGTCTACTCTCTTCCTGCCAACCCGACCGTCATGGCAGAGCAACATCGTCCTTCTCTGGACGATCCGAACGTATAGGTCCCCTAGATATTGTTATCACCCTTCACGAATTGCAGCGATCAATTCTGTTGCTGTGTTTGCGCTCACTACCATCTTGCACATTTTTCAGTTGTGCAGAAGACGAACGTGGTTCTTGATTCCTTTGGTGATCGGTATATATATATGTATGTATATCTTCTGTCTAAAACGCTGTTCTGACCAGATCATTCGAGGTTGTAGGCTGCGTTGGTAGCATATTGTTGACCAACGGCCTTTGGGCTCTCGGTCCCTTCATCATGCAGTCTCTCTTGCTTCTAGTGGCTCCTGCCTTGTTCGCTGCGTCAATATACATCGTTCTTGGCCGAATCATTTCACTAGTCGATGGCGAACAGCACCCGTTGATACGCCAGAAGGGGCTTAAGTAAGTGTTTGTAAGGGGTGCCGTCATCAGTTTCCTAGTACAGGCCGGAGGAGGTGGCATCCAAGCAGCTGGCTCTCTTACTTTGCTGCATGTCGGCGAGAAGGTCATTGTGGTCGGTCTATTCCTGCAACTGACCTTTTTTGGATTTTTCATTGTGGTTGCGGACTTCTGGGCATTTGACTTCTGGGCATCTGACTCTGGTAGAGTCGTACATCAGTCTCCGCTGCCCATACTAATCTTAAATTTGGTTCATTCGTACAAGCAAGAGCCCATTCTCCCGTTCATCACACCACCATGGCGTCGAGGGCCAGACGCCTACATCGATAGCGACGTGGACGAGGCCCGCGAACGCCACGATTCAGAATGTGTATTAAACAAGAGCCTTAATATCTATACAGACAGCAGCAACATTAAAGACGAGAGTACCTCTGTAGTAGCGTATCAATCAACGTTACAGACCTGGATATACCATCTATTATATACTATAGAGCTGTAGGGCATTCGCCTAGTACTATAAGTATAGATTGAAAGCTGATTCTACAGTTCTTTATAAATGCCTAAGAGCACTCAAGTATAGATATTATATTACAGGTCTCTTTAGTTACTTACCCATCTAGGTTGATAAAGGCAAAGTAGTTTTACTAGAGACTTAGTAGTTTTTAGTTCTTAAAACTAAACACCTATAGATTTCCTATGTTCTACAATGCCTACATACTACGGACAGTAGAACTGTACTTGAATAGGTGCCTTCGTTGTTCTAAAAGCTGTTACAAATCCTACTAGATCAAGCTGCTGTCTTATTCCAACTCCACAATCAATTTCTCGCCACTGACTCCCTGCTTGAGAGTGTCCATTGCTGCTTGGAGACCATAAAGGCCACCTCCCACAATGCGTGCTTTCGGGCTCGGTACAATCAAGCCTTGTCCCAGTGCAGAGGGAAGAAAGGTCTGGAAGAGCCACGCTGAAACGTCCGTTCTGGACGTCCAGATATTCTCCGCTGAGACATTCGATAGCTTGACTCCATCAGGTCTACTAACATCCTCGGCCCATGGTAACAAGTGCGCTAGGATGCTCTCCTTTGATCCCGATCCGGAAAGTATCTCCGCGGTGCTTCTCAAAGTAGCCGCCTCCGAGATAGTGTCAAGTGCAAGGCTGATTGGCTGTCCGGCACTTCTCGCCGCATTGATGACAGTCTCAATAACGGTAGGAGAATGGTAATCAAAGACCGCTGTCGCTCCAAGAGACTTGAGGTAGGCATGATGTGTTTCGCTCGCAACGGCATAGACACTATACCCTGACAGACGTGCGAGCTGAATAGCCATAGTACCAACACTTGACGCACCACCCCAGATGAGGATAGAGCCGAGATTCTTCTTGGGAGCTTTGAGGTCAGGATAAGCAAGGCCAAGGTCATTGTACAGAGCCATGCCAGCTGTTCCAACTCCCATGGGAAGCATGACCGCTTGCAAGAAGTCTAGGTTATCAGGTAGTTTGGTCGTAGATAGCGCTGGTGTAGCAGTGTATGTCTGGAAGGCGGAGTCTTCGTCCTTTCCGGATGAAAACCCGTTTGCGAAACTGAGAACACGGTCTCCTGTCTTGAAGTTGGTGACTTTGGAGCCCACGGCTACCACAGTACCGCTGATATCTAACATGATAGATGAGAAATGCTTTGGAAAAAAGGAACTAGAACTTCTTACCGCTTCCCAGAATAGTAGGGTAGCTGGATATTGCAAACCCCCAGGCTTGTCGCTTCCAGTCGATGGGGTTGACAGCAATCGCACGATTCTGGACTACCACTTGGTCTGGACCTGGGATCGGGATTGGACGCTCTTCGATCACGAGAGAAGTTGCAATAGTGTTCAGGACTGCGGCAAGGTTTTTTGTTGGCTTCGACATCTTGAATTGTGACTGCAAGTACGTTGATAGTATTTGGTGTAATTCAATATATGAAGTATGGAGGAGATCCCTGGTGTTCTTATGAATGTAATTTTGCAAATGCGATAGCCATCAAAACACGACGTTCCTCCGCTCTACTTATGTAGTGTTTGTTTAGGCGTGACCGTTTCGCTCTGTCTCAGTCGGACCGAGAGTCTGTCTACAGGTTAAGAATTGTCAGCGTCACGGAGATATGGTGTTATACAACTGGAGAGAGCGGCTCTGGGGACATGCAGTTCAATCATGTCCTCGTAAGTTTTCTCGGAGACGTTGCGTAGCTAGCGCTTAGCAATCACTCGTTGGTAGATACGATTCGGTCCGTTCGGTTCCGTGTCTGTGCCCTAGCATGGAGCTTTGCTTTACAACCCACCGGATCAAGCAGGAGCCGAGCACTAGTATTAGAAAATCGTATCTGTAAGCATAACACTCCATTTACAATCGTGGCAATATCATGTACTAAGCATTCTACTTACCAATGCTCTTTACTAGGCTCTTGTATCAGCCCTCGCCCCTCCAAGAGGCAGGTATTAAAGTCAGCTATAATAACGTTTAGGAGTGATGAATTTCAGGAGAGTTTTAGTGTTTATCACTGCTTGGACATACAGAATGCGTTTCAGCCGTCTTTCCCATATCTTAGGGCCTCTTCTTCTCTTTTCTAGTGTATTAGTATCGGCACAGCAGTATCCGATCACGACCCTTCGTGAGTTTCCAAATCCAACTTGGCTCGACAGCAGCGCTGTAAGTCATTACGTCTTTCACTCCCCTGTTCGCCGTGATAGTGCAAAGTCTTATGGAATCCTGGTTTCACAGACCTCACACTCAAACAAATAACTTATTTTGCAAAGGTCCGACACAATGGCGACATTCTCGTAACATCTGCGACAACCAACCAGATCTTTCTAGTCAGGCCTAGGAACCCTAACCAGATCATCACAGTTGCAAGCATCCCAAACGCCAACGGTGCAAATGGCATTGCAGAGCTCGAGAAAGATGTGTTCTACATCAACGGAGCAAACTACACCTTTGAAACTGGCCCTATCCAAGGCACTTACGGAGTTTGGAAACTCGATTTTCGCGGCACGTCACCGAAGTTGTCCCTAGTCACTATGCTCCCCGAAGCACGTATCGCGAATGGAATTACTCGTCTCCATCCAACAGATAACACCTTCTTGTTGATATCAGACTCTATCACGGGCAGCATCATCAGAGTTAATGCCAAGACTGGCGAATATGCTACAGTCATGCAGATGGCCGAAATGCTTCCCCAACCCGGGTTCCCTACAGGCGTCAGTGTTCTTCGAACCTATGAATCCTATCTCTATTTCAACGTCATCGGATCCAGTCTTAGGAGAGTGCCCATCTCAATCACAGCAGGACTTGCAACAGGACCGCTCGAGACGATCTTATTCACAGATGCCGCGTCCTTCATATTGTCGAGAGATGGAACCAAGGCCTGGATGTCTTCGCATTGGATAAATGCCTTGCAGGAGGTTGACATTGTCAATCGCCAGTCAAAGATCGTTGTGCAAAACCAAACGGACTTCATTACCCCAACAGGAGCTGCTCTTGGCAGGAAAGATGGAAAAGACGTCGTGTACATCATAACGGGCGGTGGTTACAGTTTTGACAGTGAGGAGTCTGTTTCTGGTGGAAAGCTTATTCGGGTAGATGTCGAGTAGATCTGGTTTTGTCTAGTAGGCTGGGTCCGTCAAGCTCATGTAAATGGCTAGATCCTGTTCCTCAACACGTCCTGGTTGTGAATGTACGAATTGGCCAAAGCTGATTTGTAATATTAAAAAATCTCAAGTACTTGTCACTTTAGGATCCATAGACTATTCAAGGTCCCTAGATCTTCTCTGATTATAAAGTTCAATCGATCCAATACGACGACATGGATTGCTCTAGACCTGCTAAATTTCATACTCTGTTTTCTATTTTCTAGGCCACTGGCCATGAGGCACGTTGCTCTTTTATGCTGCGAGGACTTATTGGATCACGTGAATCATCTTCACAAAGCCGATGCTCATCTACTAGCTCATGCTCGCAGAGCCTGTGTAGGGTATGACTAGTGATTCAATAACCCAAGCTCAATTCGTATCAGCTTCACTAGATCGAAACAAACGCATCGTTGTAGATTTGTGCAGACCTTGGAGGCTACTTGTTCAGCTAAAGGATGCTAACGTGTCCTTAACGTACATTTCTTACGTTTTTCGTCCTCTACTAAACTAAGAAGTCTCGTTGTTTTGGCGAGAATTTACCATGGCTGTGATCGTTGCTACAAAAGCTTCGGGTTCTCTGCCGATGAGCGTACGCAGATGACTGGTAACTACAGCGCCCTCTCCGCGCCTGAGAGCATCATACGCTGTTGCCCAGTGTCTCGCCATGTCCCCGGCCAGGTAATCTGAAGCTCCCACTACAGCCTCTTGGGATGCCCATTCCTCGATGGAACATTGCCGAATCTTGATTTCTCTGCCAAGAACGCGGCCAATTGATGCAACACTCTGCTCCAGCGACAGCTCCTGGGGTCCAGACAAGAGGAGCGTGTCATTTACATGTGGGAAGCCCTTTGGGTCTTTTGCGTAATCGGCAAGGAGATGTGCTGTTCCCTCGCCAAGCTCATCACGCTTGACCCAGGAAATACCAGTTCCCTTTCCATTGTGTGGAATCTTCACCTCGGCAGGAGGGTCCTTCAGGTCGAGGAAGGCTAGGTAAAGTCCGTATGATTCAGTGTACAGGCCTTGGCGCACAACAGTGTACGTGAAGGAAGCTAGCTTATCGGCAAGCTTGGCAAGGTACCTCTCAGTATCGATATGGGCTTGCATAACGAAAGCCAAAGAGTCTGTAGTATCGCCTGCAAAGCCGAGAGAAGAGTAGAAAATGTGTGTGACGCCAGACTGGATGGCCGCGTCGATAGCGTATTTGTGAACCTACGAAAAGTTTAGCAACAACAGTTGTTCTACACCATTTCTGCACTTGCCTTGAAACGATGCTCATGTTCGATACTTGCGTACGAAATGAGATTGAGATAGCGAGCTCCGTCAAAAGCATGATCTAGCGTTTCGAGCTTATCATAGTCTCCGTAACGAGCGACTGCTCCTGCGTCTACGTATCTTTTGGGGATCTTAGACGGCGTTCTTGCTACTAGTATAACGTCTTTGGCATTGACAAGATTCAAGAGGTGCTGGTATGTGCCCCCACCAATACCTCCTGAAGCGGGAAAGATGGCGATTGGATTTCTGTTCATTTTGCGAAGAAGCAGGGGTGTAAATGCAGAATGATGAGGGTTTGCAATACGGCAGGTATATGCTTACATTTATATCGACCTATCTATGCTATGCGCCTAATACAAAAACTAGGCTAAGTAAACGGTGATGTAATTGCATACCTTGCTGATAAATCATATGAAGAATCTTCCCCGAATTCTCGCCATACGCTAGTCTATACCTTAATTTTAGTCAGCTATTTATTCCACATCAACATTCATAAGTGCAATATTTAATGTTTAACATTATCATAAAACAGTGTAGTCTTTTAGAAAAGAAGACATTGCGCAAAAAGAGAGGACACCTTCTGTAAGAAACTACTAATAATATCATCGCATTAGCGACACATGGTTAGGTACTGTCGCGGAAGAGCACGTGGAGGTAGAGTGGAGCCACTCAGATTAACTCTAAGTAGCCTAGGAGCGTCCCCGTTAGCATAGAAGCGCTCAGTAGAGCAGCCTAGGTCATACAGCACGCAACACATAACTCAGCCGCTCCTGAAGCTAGGGGAATGTATCTCTATACGCTGCCTATATAGATTCGTCCCATCTGATCTTATAGCAGATCAGTGGTCTAATATATTGATCACCTGAATACGCTCTTGGCTTCTTAATTCCTTCATAGATACACACATCTCCGCGACGTCTCGCACATTGAATACCATGAAGTGCCTGCAAGGTCCATCTGCCTCGTTCAGGACTAGGCGGATCTCGAAGAACCTGCCGCAACAATGGACACTCGTATTATGGATCAAAGGAGAATATTCGGTTGGGACAGTGGTAATACAATATCTTCTGTGGCGAAATGTATTCCCCCTATGGTTCATTGTGGTAACGCATCAGACGCCACGCTTTGTCATCTACCATCACCAAGATTCAAGTCTAAAGTGCCGCATCTTGTATTCGCAAACCCAGAATCAAATCTGCGTCATAAGAAATGTCAATGATTCCTTGCTGTACAAGCGGATGCGATTGAAGAAGGAACCAGGCGGCAGTGGCCTGGATGCTACTGACCCCTGCCCGGATACAGGTAGCTCGTTTCCGATCGGTGAACTTCACATCCGTGATGGCGGATAGATGTTGCATGTTATAGTGAAAACCTCTGCTTCCACGCCCCAGTGGAGCAGCATTTGCGGCAGGTCTGACGATTGTCTCTTGCTGCGAGGGGATGTCAGATTGCATGGATGCAGTGCGTAAGGCCTCATTGTCAGCGCAGATCCGTCCTAAATTGTATTTCAGCTGTTCATTTTCAGCCTGAAGAGCATTTCGTTTGCACTCTAATGCTGAAACTTTGGCTTCAAGGTGACGTATATGCTGTTTTCTGCGTTCGACGAATGCACGCTGCCTTATTTGAGGTCAGCAATTCCATTGAGCAGATATCGGGAAGCTCAGGCGGTGTACATACGCTGCTCGATTTTGAGATTTCCGTCTGTCTTCAAATGATATGGGGGTACTCTCATCGGTCCTACAGTCCCTAGTTGTCTCTATGGCCGGGTAATCCTGGCAGCCTCCACCTCCAGAGTCTGTATGACCCACCGCAGTGGACGTACGTGCTATCTTGTCGTCTAGTGAAGTCTTCTGGGTGTTCGGAACGTCGTGGCCTTCCAGTGTCCAGCAGAGACTAGTGAATTCGGCGGTTCTGTGAGGTTCTTGTGCTTCTGGCCACGTAGACTAGGTATTGGTTAGTGATCTAGTTCGAGAATACACCTAGAATTCTTTTGAGAGAATTTACAGCATTGTTTGTCATGGTTCTTCTAGACCCGTCACTTCCTATGACATCTGGCATAATGTCTGTGCGTTGCCGATCAGACCATATAAATGGCGCATTAAAAAGTATGTATTCCATTGTCCTTCGATAGACGTTCGGTCATAGTCATTGCATGATAGCTGTCTGCATGTTTATAAGGAGCAGAAGATCACAGTACCTGGGGCTATTTCAATAATGCCGGTAAAATTCAAGAAAAGGAAGTTCGGAAGCATTTAAGCCCTTGGCAAAGAGATCGGCGACTTTGACAGGGGCTCGGCACTAAAGGTAGATGGTGGAGTGTTTATCATGAGTGCAATGTTGAGTGGGAAGACAGGAATGGTCAGTCTCATTCTTGATGACGTCCAAAATATGACTGCTACGAGATTTAAAGAATTCAGCTGATAATTAGGACACTGCTAGATGCTCAAGGCCACATAAGATTGATTGTAGACACAGGAGGGCGGTGCCTAGAGTTCAGCACTAGGGAGAATGCATTGTTTTGCATCCGTATCCCTGACGCACCCACAACCACCAGAGCTTGGCCAGCGCATCTCCGACCTTGATAACTCACCATCTACAGGAGTTGAGTCATCTGGCCGATGGTTCACATGTACCCATCGAAGGTTTAGCCAATACAGAACAACTGAACTAATCTCCTAGAGCTTCTGACTTGCTGGCTGCATGCCGCGCCGGCACAATATATCAGCCTAACGTGTAACCCCCTTTAGATGTTTACCTGAGTAAACGCTGCTTATCCATGCCAATTGCACGCAACGTTCTTGTGGGCAGTGCGGTTGGATCTCGGAGATGAGAAAGCGCCTATCGTATGCATCTAACGTCCCGTCTCATCGCCAAAACTACACCGATGGTTATTGAGAAGGGCCGGCTTTTACGAGGCAGATCTGATCATGTCCCTGGACCCTGAACATCTACGCTCCTCGGACCCTGGAAATCAACGACGCTGCAGGGGAGCTACAATAATATGTTTCTCAAGAAACCAATCCCGGCCACTCTACCAGCCTCAAATTCGGATTTGTAAGTTGAGGATCTAGTCCATCAACAGAGCCGACTTCACACGGCCTATGGGGAAATTCGTTTGGAAAGCGTCTACTGTTATTGACCCAGGCATACTGACAGGCACGTGGACAGACCCTGCATGACTAGTCTTGCGGGCACACGCAGCTAGACCGGTATGATGATACATCGCACAAGTCTAGCTGCCGTGCCCCAGTGAAAGATTTCGCTCTTTGATATTCAAAGACTCATATACGCTAAGGATAAAGTCTCGATCCAAGCTTTACATGTCCTCCAGAGTGAAGAAGTAAATGCATCACATAGACCGTAACAATTTGAGGTTTCCGAGGACTAATCGAAGCAGATTAAGTTATTTGCGTCAAACAACACTCGCTTGTAAGTGGATAAGATGACGAAGTCGAAGAAACATCGCGTTCCTGGCATCAATGGAAAGGCCGAAAAGGGCCGATTTGTAGTGCGCTAGACTCGCTTGCTCATGCAGATGATCCCTGGGCCTCTTTCCTAAATCGGCCGTTTTCCGTACAACCACTTTTGCTGCTTCGCCTCAAGAATATCGATGTGTCATCACGTGCCGACAGTAAACCGGAAATGATCAGCTCGTCCATGTTGAATTTTGCGCGAGGCATTGCGGAACCAATGCTTAGGATATGTAAGACAGCAGAGGAACTCAAGTTTTCTCGGGATGACTAGCTCTTGCGCTATTCGCACTCATCCGCTATGCCAGCCTCCATCTTCACCAGCAACATCGTGGTCGGAGCTGGCCATGGCTTGCTCTTGCCTGAATATCTCTAGATTTATTTTACCGCACTAGCCTAACAATTAAAGCTAGTTGCTCATTCTAGAGGGAAAATCCTAACTCCAATAGAATCTGACATGTAGATAGGCACACGCACACATCCAGTATTTTCTAAACAAAAAGGAACTCCCTTCAGTATTTTGGACCTTACTCTGTATTGCTTTCTATCTAAAAAAGACCCTACAGCTCACATGGGATTCCTTATTGTGTGTTCCTTTCGATTGAAAGCAACATTTCTTCTGTATGAACAACACCGCAACATGGTGTTATTACTACTGCGTTGAGGTATTCTATACACGATTCTGTACTCTAGTGGCATGTGTTTTCTATTAGTTCGGAAATGCATTCAGCATGGCATGGAATCTTCGCTTAGCATCGACACATCTCCTACTATCGCGCCAGGTCCGTCTTCATAGATGAAGTCAGCCTCACAAACACGACGTCGTGTGGATCACGATGCGGCGCACGGACAACACAAGTCGCGAATAGTATGGCTCTAGCGCAGAAGACCCCCTCATCTAGGCCTCGCGTTATGGAGCGCGAGCGGCAGGTCTTTAATCTCTTAGCTCCTAGAATGCGAGCGGACATCTTCGTTATTTCGAACCAGCGGTTTTTGACTGTCTCTGCGCATTCTCTTACCAGTACTGTACTTCTATCGTCTGTTGCTGACGTGGACACTGCAATATTCGACGGATAGATCAGGAAGCGCGATAGCCAGCGTGTTGGAGTTGATGTGAAGGACCTTCGTCGCCGGGCCAAGGAAGGTCGGACAAGGATAATGGACAATTGTGTCAATAGACTACCCGAACTTACTTTGATACGTACGTAGCAGAAGTTGAGCAGTTCACTCGGATTGATATTCTTAAGATATACGCTAACTTTGTATTCACTAAAAATTGCCCTTGAGATTGATTTATATTCACCTATATCCAGCATTAGTAGTATCACAAGATCGCTGGTGTCACAGAAACTTATGGGCGACTCGTGGCTTCGTAAGAAAAGGCATCTGCAGTCACAGTTCGAGCAACTTTCGCAGGCCTCGAATGGAACGACCAGCTCATCCAAGTCTGATGGAACGGTTCACTTCGAACAAGTCCGTCACGATTTGCAGCCCAGCCACATAAATAGATATCTTCGTTATCGCTCATAATCTCAATATCCTTGGAGTTGATTACCTCCCTACTTACGAAACACGGACAGCGCTGCAGCCATTGTAATCACTACCTCCAGACTATCCAGCAATTTTAATGTTGGCGAGCGGGCTAGTCTTGTCAGAAAATCCGAACACGAAAGTTGTTACATTACCGTTCGAGTACGACTACTGCAGGAAGACCGGTATTTCTCGCGTTTGCTGAACTAAGAACAAACTATACATACCTTGACTTTCTTCAGGGTCACCGAAGAGCGCTCGCCTATCTCGTCTCTATCAGTAAAGAAGTCAAGATAGGTTGACTGTCATCCGAGCTATGGAGAAGTCTATCGTAAGCGAAAAGCGGTGTGAAGGTGTGATTGTGGTTCAGCATATATCGCAGCGAAGGTGCAGTGCGAGTTGTTACCCAGGTAACGTTTGAGATAAGAACGAAACTTTTGGGATCTGAGCTGCGCAGAGAGCTTCACCATTTAGTCAGTACATAGCCTCTTGATCCCTTCAGAGTCTTGAACAGCGGCACGCTAACGAACGAGGTGCACTACTCCGTTCCATGCTATCAGCAGGGGCGATGAACATCCGCCTGCCTTTATTTGTACAACCAGTCTCCTAAGTCAGCAGACGGCGAGGCTACCCTCGCCGTGTTGATAAGCCCGCCTTTCTCTCCCAATCTCACGACGCGCAACCGCCACACCCACCGCATATCCAAACGGCGGGCGGGCGTGTAGGTCTATGCATGTAGGCTGCATCTCATGTCGAGGCTGCCCAGCGCTCGACTTGGGACGGTGACGTGCGGGTGATAAGGGTAGTGGGCGGTAGTCATGAGGGGATGTTGTATGGGTAGGTCCGCATTTTCTGAACTTCGGATCAGTCCTGGGGATCAAGGGCAGTAGGTTGAACGCCAAAATTTCGACGCGCTGAATGTCGAATGATCTCTGCCCTGTCTCGCCGCGTCACACAGCGGATCAAGATTCGTGCTTTGCAAGTGCAACGCGTCTCCGTGCAGAGCGGCAGGCCACTGCGATCCCATATCTACATTAATCGTTCAGAGATTAAGCCCGTATGCAGTCCGAACTTGCTTCACGGTAGCTGGCATTGTCCTGTGACACACCTAAACCTTCCTGCTAAAGCCTGCACTGTAGAGCTCAGCCTTGAAGATTGACTCGACTCGCTCTGTATGCACTCACTGATGACTCCACATGTGGAGGCTTTGGCGTTAGAGACTGCTCCTCGCGTAAGGCTCTTGACTACCTTCCTTTTCCAGGTTCTCAGAGTCGGGTTTCCACCAGCACCAGAACATACATCCAATCGTAGTCATCTACTCTTGAAAGCATACTGTAATTTATATATATGTTGCTGCTGACCTGTATGTAGCAAAAATAGAGCGTACGGGTCTCAGAAACCAAGAACTGTGTTCCAAATACTGTTCCCCGTGTGGTTCTGCAAGGGCATTTAGGACAGCAACAATACCTACTTCTTTCGAATTTACAAGACACTTGAGGGCGCAATTCGTCCGATTGAATCAACTACCGGCGATATGCGTAGATTGGAACGTTAACGCCATCCATTTATAATGCTTCCGGAAATACAAGAAAAAACGTCTTTCCTTGTACGCGACACTGAAGTGCATCGCATGACTTGCTGTGATGACTTTTTTGCCCTTTACTGCCTAGTGTGTTATTACGCGAAATGAGCCGGACTTTTGTCCGACCATCTTGTGATTCGCTAATGCGACCCGCCTGATTGACACTTTATGCCAGGGCCAGATTACTAAGAACGGCTTGCGCAATGCTTACCCTTGTCAAAAAGAAAGTGGCGAACGTTGTGTGATGCACGACATAGCTCGACAGTGATGCTTGGTTCGTAGTGTTTTACAGGTCGTAGACGAATTATGGTGCTTGTATAGATTCATTATCTCGAGGTCGCATAGGGTTGCCACAGCTCTAATGCTTCACAAGCAACGAATGCGAAGTGCCTCTATCCGTTTCGGCAGAATGATAGCAAAGAAATGAGCACCTATACGACTTCTAGCACCGACCTAGGCTTTGAAAATAGTAGACCCGAAGATCTGTCTTGGTTTCTTGGCAAATATAAGTATGTCCGCATGTTCCGAGAAGTTGGAAGTGTAAGAGTTCTAGTAGCGGATGGAACCTTGCAACAATACCAATTTGAGACGTATTTATATGCTGTGTTGTTCGCACTTTGTACACCACTATCTACCACACTTTCAGCTTCGTTCAATTCTAATCACTCAAGAACTTACTACCCTCAACCCAAGATGATTTCCACAACTCTATCTCTGTCTCTTCTGGCGATGCTCAAGACAATATCTGCATCGTCGATATTGTTCGAAGGCGGTACGATCATTGCTTTTGATCAACAAGCCAACGACCTCAACGTCATCCGCAACGGCAGCATTCTGATCCACGAAGACCGCATAGTCAATATCTGGTCGAGCGAGGAAACTCCTTCAGTGTCGATACCTCCCAACACTACGTTTGTAGATGCAGCTGGCAAGATCATCGCGCCTGGTTTCGTCGACACCCATCGTCACGGGTGGCAGACACTGTTTAAAACCATGTTCTCCAACATCACGCTCCCCGAATACTTCGGTCGCTTTGGAGAAGCCGCGTCTGCGGGACGCGTCGACGCGGAGCAGGTGTATATTGGGCAGCTTGCCGGGTTGTACGAGGCACTGAATGCGGGGACCACTGCGTCGCTCGACCACGCGCACCACACTTGGTCGGATGAGACATCTTGGGCGGGACTGAATGCCAGCATTGACAGTGGGGCCCGTGTTTTCTGGTCCTATGCGTTCCATGAGGTTGCCAATTATACCATCCGGCAGCAACTTGTGAACTACCGCGACATCGTGAGCGCGGCCCCGCAGACGAACACGGCGGTCGAACTTGGTATTGCTTTTGACAGCTTCGATAACGGTTCTGTGGACCAGGAAACGATCAACTCTATCATCGATTTGGCCAAGTGAGTTCTCTCAATACTTCCATCCCGCCTTTGTGGTGTGAGGTAGACCACATTTTCTAACGGGAGCGTCACACAGGGAAGTCAACACCTCAGTCCTCACAACCCACAGTGGAGGAGGAGTATACGGAAGTAAGTAGATATATCTTCCCGTCAACATAAGTCCTTGTTACACGTCGAGTCTGACAACATGTAGATGAGAACTCACCAACAACTCTTCAAAACTTCGGAATCCTCAACACTACCATCCCAGTTGTGTTTTCGCACGGATCCTACGTCACCCTCAAAGACACGATGCTACTACGAAGTACCAACCAGTACGTTGCCATCACGCCAGAGTCGGAGATGGGATTCGGCCTCGGTCGCCCAAACACCAACATGATCATGGATCAAGCCGCGTTGGGTATCGATACCCATGCATTCCAGTCCAGCGATATGGTGTCTCAAGCACGCCTATTTCTGCAGACGACACGGTCGGCAGTCACTGACGAACTGTTCAAGAAATGGCAGGTCCCTGGGTCGAACCCCATGAGTGTCGTCCAGGCTTTCCTGCTTGCAACCCGCAGCGGAGGCCTTGCGCTACGACGTCCCGACCTGGGGGTTCTCAGTGTGGGTGCCAAAGCAGATGTTGTGGTGTGGGATGGGACTAGCCCGAGTATGCTGGGCTGGGTGGACCCGGTGGCGGCAATTATTCAGCACTCCAACGTCGGTGATGTGGAGCATGTTCTTGTTGATGGCAAATTTGTGAAAAAGGATCACAAGCTGGTCGTTGGAGACTACGAGCAGGTCAAGCTGAGGTTCTTGGCGGCAGCGAAGCGCATTCAAGAGGACTGGCAACAGATTCCCCGCCCTCAACTTGGAGAACGAAGTTTGGAGGGTGCTCTTATTGTCAATGCGGATGAAGTCGATGTTGTATCTGGAGATGGTACAGGCTATGGCCAGCTGTACGTTACTAATTAGGTGTTAACTGGGGGTCAAATCAGTGTTAGAGTTTTCCGTTGCCTCAATTGGTTTATTTGTAGACTACTTAATCCAAAATTGTTTTGTTTCTTGACATCAATCACATTGTACTCTTCAAAAAGGAGTGTCGTGCTTAATATTTCACAGATATCTATTGATCGTCACAATTGAAAAAGTGCTCGACTTTGTAGCAATAGCCCGCGCCTTGATCTAGGTGTAAGCGCACCTGACCCACGGCGATAGTGAGAAAGTTGAAATTAAAACCCAACAAGGTGACACTGAAGGAGTTGTAGAGCCCAAGTTGACCTTGGTCGGACAGCGAATTGGGTTCATCTGGTGTCTAGGTTGTGGATATTATTTACATACGATGTGATTTCCATCAACTGCGTCTTCATCTAGCCAAGTTTGAAAGCAATCGTTACGTTAAGCAACCTCCTTGTTACTAGACTGGTGGTCGACGGTGCCACATACATTGGCTTATCTAATCCAGGACATCCTCGCTCAAGCTCCCGATTTGTTGCTCTTTAACTTTTTAACCATTCCATGTTATACATATTTGTCTACATACGCTAAAATTTACGAATCGGTCGTGAAAATGAACTGCAGCCAAGCAACGGTTAATGCTGGCCTGATTGTATCCATGTAGCGTAGCCCGATCTCTCCACCTAGGGACTCGTGGTCGAGATTGCGGGGTTAGTAGTGTGGGGTAATTATACTATGTGCTGAAATGGATCACGTCGTCAAGGACAAGTGGCGATCCTATCGTGAACGTCATGAGTTATCAGTCACTTCGTACCGTCTTAGCAGAGCTTCCAATCCCTCTGCGTTCGCTTGTACAGGAAATCCAGGACGTACTTGTAACATCCCGCAACTGTGTCTTGCAATATTAGTGTACCTAATTAAACAACCAGTCACTTGGACAAGTCGTTGTTCGATGGCTACCGTTTGATTCCGATCAATTCGCCTACGAAGCTATGATGTCCACATCTCCATATGTAATGCTACTCGTCATGTCAATATTCACGAATTAAACTCCCTTTCATCGCAGTTACAGCCGTTGGCAATATGTAGCATTTTACTTTGTTCAGATAATACTAGTAAAATATTGAGTTAGTCGAGATTGGGAGCGGTTCCACATCTTTCTTGTTCATGCAGCAGCTGCTTGTGAGTTTGCACTTCTCTGACTGCCGCTTCTTGTACCCCCATAACATGAACCAGCCCCTGTAGACACTTGTGCTCGTTTGATCAGTCGGCCATTAACAGTACTTCAACTTCAATGCCCCGGCATGATCTCTCGTTTTACAAAGTGTCCTCAGGTATGTCGTCAACATCGATACTCGGGTGAACAACGCCTCGGAACTTTGCCATTTGCTCTCGCATCCTTTGGATTTGTCCCGGAGTCCAAGAGTTACGACATTCATCGTCTGAATACGACATGTAGTTGTCTGTGTATCACGTGTGAGACAGTGTGGGTCAAGGCGATCCAGCTTTTATCACTTACGAATAGAATCTAATCCAGGCTGATCAGGACAGGAATCCCTATTTTAATATCAATACCAGCGTATATACTAGGATCCAGGCAGTTTGCGACGTACCTGCCAATTTCGCAACCTCCAAGCCCCAATGGTTGGTCTTCAATGGGAGTATCCGCGACCTTGAAAAATTGTCAAACAAGCACCTTCACGGAGCTTATATTACTTACGTAGTCGTAGCTCTTCTCACAGCCGTTAGCGAAAGTGTGGTACAGGCCAAACCACTACGTTCTCTGTTAGCTCAAGTCCAAGATGTAGCTGTTGCTAAGTCAATACAAGGAGCCTTACGTGTCCAACTTCATGTATAAGTGTACCTCCCTGCCTAAAATTTGGGTCGCTACCCCCAAGAAACACTGTACCATTCTGAAACACTCCATCGTAGAGAGGTCGCCATTGCAGATCACTCGGCAAGGACGCCCATGCTTGGGTAGACGTTCCGAGGCCGCTGAATTGTAGCATTAGCTTGTGGGCTCTACAGACAAGGTTTTGCATTACCCCATCATGTATATGTTGAGTGTATCATTTCCTCCCTTACGAAGAGCCAAAGAGACTTGATTCTCATAAGGGGTTGCAATTTTAAGGTTGTAGTACCTAATCGACATGATCAACAATGGCCTAAATGCTGCACAAGCACGGGTATTTACCACTCGGCATTGACTGTGCGGATTGTTTCCTTCAGAGCAAAGCGGAAACCGACAGGGCGGAAAGCGTCATCTAGAATACGTAATTGGGCCTCAATGGTTGTATCACTGATTACAATTAGCGGGTTTATCCACGGATGAGCTTTTGAATCTGATCCTAGTACGTAGGCAGGGCTTACCTGATGTCTCCGCCTTCTTCGGTCCCATCAGCGCTCAATATCTGCATGTAAACCTGTGTATCATCAATAGGTGGTCTGACAAGCCTCTGATAGGGTTTAACGCACGTCGATCGGCAGCAATTCGGTCGAGTTGCCAGTCTCACTCTGTCTAAGGGTGATCTTGGTGCGGCGTTGTACGGCTGACGGCTGGACCAATGTCGATGTGTTGCTGGCCGTCCCGCACACGGAGATGCTAACTAGTGCGTCAATAACTGCTTTATGTTCGGTCCAAGTGGTATGTTGTTACCCATTACTGGACGAGGCAATGTCTCTGTTGTTCACCACAAATGCTGAGGCCAGAGCGGTGCTCGCCAGAAGATATGCCCATGTTGTTGCGTTAACCATTGTATCTTTTCAAAACGTCACGGATGCAGCGGATTCGACTCCTGTCAAGAGGCAGCTGTCGCACCTTTATTGGAATTGCTACCTTGTGCAGATCTATCGTATAAGAGACTTGGAACACCTTGGCATGTGGGGCGCCTAACCCGGACTATACATCTACCCCCTGCATCCGATAATCTTCACCAGATACGATATGAACCGAATACCGACGACTCCGCAGCACAATCTCGACAGTCGCTATGACCAATACCCGTCCACAAGATGCTTGAGGCGCTCAACACATCCTCGGATAGAGACATACAGCCAGGAGAAGACCATAAATGAACTTTTAGGGCGCTGAGGGTTGATTGTATACACAAACTTTCAAAAGCCTTATTCTGACGAACAATGGTCTAAATCGTTGCAGAAAGTTATAGTATCTCGTTTGCATGTGAAAGTGGCGAGAACACCTCGTTACTATCAAGACACTGGAACCAGGTCTGGGCAGTGCTTCCAATATGATCCGGTTCTCAAAGTCTACTATGAAGAACAGGATAACGCTTGCTCATTGGTGCAGATAATCCTTCATGTGGCTCCAGATAAGTATGTCAAAGAAGCTCAAGCCTCGAACACGGAACTGTGCTCCAGCTATCAAGAGTGTGCTGTACCGCCCGCCAATTTCAAAGTGCGAAAGAGATAATCGACCTCTGAGGTAATCCAGGGCCTTTGTAAACATGTCGAGTGGCAAGCTCGCGGAACGGATGCGATCTCTGATTAACCATCAGTCCGCAGGCGGCCAAGGAAATCAGAAGCTTTATGGCAGGCTGCTTATTCTTAAGCGTTAGCTTAGAGGTCGTACGCTTACACGTAACTATCCGCCTTTTGGACGCAGAATAGGCACTCTCACTTGAAATTAGGGATCAACTGTACCACCGTGGTGGCCAGTCGTCCGCTAGCAAACGCGCGAGCCATGTCTTTGATTGTCGTTCATTAAACAAGTCGGGATGAGGTATCAAAAATGTATTCTCGTGTCCCTCAAACCCTACTCACGAATCGAATCCAGATGGGGTTCCTCCCGAGTCTGTGAGTCGTCACTCTATGAAGACATCTGGGCTTTCTTAAACGGGATAGCGCTTGAGTGCAGCACATCGAACGCAGGCGAGAGTAGAGACCTGACAAAGTGAAGGTCGAATTAGCTTCAAGAATCTCCCTGGAGGTAGAATGTGCCTAGGCTTTTACTCGAGCTGGGTCGATGCAATGAAATACTGGCGTCAATTGCTTTCCGGCAGTCCTGGAAGCGCCAGACGGCCTCAGGAGTTGTTTGAATATTGTTGATAACGATTCTTGTTCTTCTGCACAGTGACTGCGCAGTTGCGGGAATACTGGATCCTTGTGGAACGCGACGTTCCAAAAAGACTCACGTAGTTCATACTGGGGTATAAAATTGTGTAAATAACACCACATCTTAGGTAGTGTTAAAAACACTGCATTTTGCACCTAAAAAACACTATAACTAGGGGGTAATTTATATAGAATAGATAGGTAGGGTTTTTAATATAAATACAGTTTAGTATACATATAAGTCTATTATTCTATCTATTCTATCTAGAGTAAAGAGAAGAAAGAGAGAGAAAGGGGTTAAAAGAAGGGGAAAGCAAAAGGGGAAAAGAAGAGAAAGAAGAAGAAGAAGAAGAAGAAGAAAGAGAAGAAAGGGAGGAGGGGGGGGGAGAGGAGGGTAGAAGAGAAGAGAAAGGAAAAGAGAAGTAAGAAAGAAGAGACATATAGTAAGGTAGAGGTAAGAAGAGAGAGAGAGGTAGAAAGGGGGGGGAAGGTAAGAGGGAGAAGGAGGTAGAGTAAGAGCGTAAGGAGAGAGCATAAGAAGAGAGAGGAGAGAGAGAGAAGAGAGAAGGAGAAAGGAGAGAGAGAGAAGGGAGAAAAGGGAGAGAGAAGATAGATTTATAACAAGAGAGAAGAGGGGTATATTACTAATTTCTATAGCTAGTTAGCTACTATATAAAAAACACTGCTCTTTTATATTAAAAAAACATAGGATAGGCCCTAAATAGCCTATTTACCTAGGAGTGCAGTATAAAAAAACATAGGGTGGTGTTATTTACACTGCGTTGGTACCCCAGTGTCAGGAGCACTCTAAGGATGCTATCAACATAGAGTATATGCTCAACCAATCGTTGTGTGCAACTGAGTAGGTATTATTTATCCAAAAACACAGCTGCGATTACAGCTCCGAAATGCCTTGGAGACTTCACGGGCCCCACAAAGCCTTCTAGTATGCCTTTCATCGCCACCACTGCCACCCAATCGCGTCTCCGTCGGCCGTAACGTGTTAAGACATCATCACACTCTCTAACCCACTTTTGAGATGTAGTCCATTTGATAGTTTAAACAATTCGTACCTCTGACCATCATTTCTGTCTCCATCGTTCCATTGCCTAGCAGAACCACCCTCCAAACCCCCCCTAACCCTCGCTGACATCCGTCATAATTCCATTTGCAGGTTCCCAAATCTCTTTATCTTTGCTTCACTGTTCCCCAACTGTACATACCGCGCCACTTCTACATTATGCTGGTCAAAAGCTTCTTGTGTGCTGAAAATACAACCGCAGACACAGGTTAGACCGCCTGCTGCGGGAAGTATCTGAGCCGATTCAGAGTATAGGCTTATTGACGAGAAAGCAGAGGTCAAGGAGTCCTCTTGATGTGTTTGGGGAGTCGAAGAGTTATTGTTATGACGTTGGTGGTACATGGAGTCGCGCTTGTGGAGGTCAAGAATCCGCTGGGTCTCAAACGACTGGCCACAGGTGCAGCGGATGAGTTGAGCTACCGAGAAATTCGAATGCGGAATGGTGCCGGGCAATGGTGCGGTAGTTTGGGGGAGTAGAGGTGAATGTGCAGTCTGAGTCGCTGGTTGCACTGCTTTCGGCGTTGATAATTTGAGTTCTCCCGCATGATGAATCTTTGAAGTTTGTAGATGCATGTCGAGTGCTGCTTGTTTTGCAAAGTCACGTCCACACACACAGTGTATCTTAGCCATCGATCGTGGAGGGGAGATGGAATGGCCTGCTACCGAGGGCATGAAGCCCACATCTGCAGTCCGATCCTGGATCAGGGCTGGAGACGATAATGCCAAGCTCGATTTCGTGCGCTGCCTACGCGATGAACAGCCTGGACTTGTAATTCCAACTTTATGAGAACTTTTAGATGAAGGGTTGGAGAAAAAGGCTCTAGGCTCTTGTGACGCAGTGGTGAATGAAGCTTCAGCTGGAGCGATAGGAGCTCTTCGGCGGGCGCTTGGAGGGTTGGATCCAATAATCGTGTCCTCTTGGTGTCTTGTACAGATTTCTTTATGCTGTAGGTACTCATTCACGCTTCCAAACCTGATCCCGCAAGGACAGCGGACCTCGACTCTGTGGATTGTCCATGGGTAGCCTTCCATCTAGTTTTTCGCGTCGAATAGGAAAGTGCTCTAGTCAGTGGAGGGAAATCTTGAGAGCTCAAGGTTCGGATACTTGCTGCATATCATCGCCTCCGTAGTCCCGTTTCTGGTGTTGGGGAATGCGGGGAAGTTGCAGGAAAAGCTTCAACGTTCCGCGGCATATGCGATTGCATCCCACTCACAGCATGCCCAGGGATGCTCTACGGCTGCTTTTTTGTATATTAAAAGCCGTCCATCTGGAATTTTGACTTGGATTTGAACCAAAATAAGCTCTCAGTCCCAGATTGCCAGCGACATCCTACTATGTCTACACCGTCATTCTTTGTGGGCAAGGCAGCAATCGCCACACCAGAGTGAATCAATTGACGCGGTATTTGATTGCGGCATGGTGAGCAACAGCGTCCAGGAGTAGGTAACCGAGACTTTTAGCAGTTTCCTATTCGGGCCATCAATGGAAGCACTTTAAATGTGTCAGCTCAGGCAGATCTTCGGGAATCGAGAAGACGGTGATGTCAAAATCCTTCTCTATGCGACCTTGACTACATATAGGCAGTGCTCGAACTGTCCCCTAGTCGCTGAACTGCATTGTAGCCCACTGTGGTGCACCAGGGTGCGGGGTAGATTTTCATGCATGAATTTACTACGTGGCTCTTGACAATTGGCTCGCTGATTGCGATCTTGACTTGTGTTAAACTCCTGAACCTCTTCTGTCGTTGAGTTTTAACGACACTAAGTCAGGCCAATGCCTAGACGCTTCTTGACATTACACTACCCGCGAAATGATGAGTGAGGCGATATTGCACGAAATTGTTGTCAATGCCGACACAATCATCAGTCTGAGAAACCCGTGCAGTGAATTTGCAGTATGGGATGAGCCCGCGCCTCCGCCTCCGCCTCCGGTGGAGATAAACGAGGTCAAATACTCACACATACCTAAAAAAGAGAGGAAGAAGAGAGAAAAGGAAGCATTAAGACAGCAAGAGATCTTGGACTCCATCCCAGCTGCACCAGAAGATGATTCCGCGATGGCTCCAGAGCCAATCGATACAATACCAGAGGATGATCAGGCAGCCCCAGCCACTATCGATAGGAATTCGAGTCGAAGGGGCGATAGACAGAGCCTCTTTGGTACTGGATCGTCAATCGTACCGGAACCACCTGCGCCAGCTGAAAGCGAAAAGGACGACAATGTCCCCAACCCAGTCGAAAGTACTGTGCAAGATATTGGGGCAGAATCGATACCGACTGTCGATGAGCCAATAGTGGAGTTCCGAGTCTGCGCAGGAAACTTGATGTCGGCTTCTCCGTGGTTCAATCGTGTTCTGACCAAAGATGGTTGGATGGAGTCCAATACAAGTGCCGACGACAGATTATTCCACGTGTCCGCCGAGGACTGGGATGAAGAGGCGTTTTTCATCTTGATGAATGTGTTTCATCTTCGCAACCACAGCATTCCTCGCAAAATCACCTTGGAAATGCTGGCTAAGATTGCGATCCTGGTTGATTACTACGAATGTAGCGAATCTGTTGACATGTTCATCGATATTTGGGTGGCAGACTTGCGCAAAACGAGTCCTGTCCCGACAACTTACTGTCGGGATTTGATACTATGGATGTGGATATCCTGGAACTTCAAGCTATCAGACCTGTTCAGGGAAGTAACGACTGTGGCTATCCAGAAAGCTGTCGAGCCAGTGCGAAACCTGGGACTTCCAATTCCAGCTTGGGTCACCCGTATGTATCATTTGGACGATTGCACTTGATGTTACTTACCTTGAGTAGACGAAATTGACCTCAGACGCCATCGAGTAATCGACTCTATCAGAGCTGGGCTGAATGCACAGCTTGCTACATATCGCAGTGCAAGATACATTTGTCCTGTCAACACTAGCTACTCCTTTCAGTGCGGAAGCATGCTATTCGGCGCACTGACGAAACAGATGGATTCAGCGCAGCTCTCGTCCCTTCGGCCTACAAACACGTTTCTGGGGTTGAGTTTCGATGCTCTTTGTTTCGAGGTTCGATTGATAAAATCGAGTCTATGGTGGCACGACCACTATCATCAGCATGACTGCAATGTGAGCACGGCTGTCAATTCCATCGTAGATTCGGCTGTGGCTGGTGTATCCGGGCTAGGCCTGAGAAAGGAACTTGCTTCCTGGCAATCTTTGATGCGACAAATCCACTGGGGGAGCGTTGCTCCTACTCACGATATCAGCACACGTAACAAAATTGCCTCACAATAGGGATCACATGGAAAAGATCTAGGCTGGACGTATTCATCATGTTTTTCCGAGCCCCTGTCTCAACTTGAATGGCCGCTTTGCAGGCGCTTGCTGATCATGAACATTTCTGCACAAGATAAAGCCACCATCAATTGTGGTCAGCTGTGCTTTTAACTCACGCCTGTGCTACCAATTCCATACATGCGTGTCTTTCTCGTAAAGAGGCAGTGATTTGACAGTGCTGGAAATGCGCAAACTGGGATGTAAAGCCCCTTCTGAGGTGTACTTGCCGTGTGACACTCGGATGATGGAGCGAAGCACAATTTGGAGCTCCACAGAGTCAGTGTATCAAGCAACGGAGTCACAGAAGAGCGCGTACCATGGAGATTGTGACCATCGGATGTCAAATATGATGATTCAGATGTGATGTCGACGACACCAGTGGGACCTGCCAAGCAATGACATCTATCCACAGATCGGACCCTGACATGGATGATCGGCCGCGGCTCAACTGCATAATCCACGACACAACACCCGACCCAAAACGCCAAACCTCCCACTAGCTGAGCGCAGCATCTCCACCGGGCATCTATCCAACGATTGAATTCGCTACGTCACACACACAATCCATCCGCGCAGCTCGACAACCCCACCACCACGACCTCCAAGCCCTCGAAGCTCCCTCGAAGCTCCCACGCCAGCGCACACATCCCTTCCGCCAGCGACCCGCCCGCACAACCCCCTTCTCACGACGAACCCCCCACACCCTAAACTCGACCACACCCCCTCCCCCTGCCGACCATGGCGCAGCCCGTCCAACCCCCCACCGACACACCAACCTCGTACATCGACCCGACCTACTCGCTCCTGAACTCGACATGCCTGGACATGCTTTTGATCGAGCTGGTGCCCATGGCGTACCGGATAACCGCAGACCTGGCGCAGCGCGAGGAGGAATGGACGGCACCCGCGACGGCGGCGCACCGACTGTCGGCGCTCAGCGGCGACGCGAGTAGTACCGCGGCGGGCGCGGGGCACGCGGCGGGGCCGGCGGCGACGGTGGACGAGGAGGAGTCGCGCGAGGCGGTGTTTCATCGGCTGGAGGCGCTGGGGTACCGGGTTGGGCTGGGGATTGTCGAGCGGTGAGGCGCCTCGCCTGCGTTGTGTGCACACACGCGCACACGGAAGCAGATACAACCGCGCATGCGTGCTGACAGTTAGTATAGGTTCTCGCGCGACTCGGCGCGCCCCACGACGCCGCTCGACTGCATCAAGTTCCTGTGCAAGGACCTGTGGACGCTGCTGTTCCGCAAGCAGATCGACAACCTCAAGACGAACCACCGCGGGATCTACGTGCTGACAGATAACACCTTCAAGCCGCTGACGCGCATGTCGTTTGATACGAAGAAGTACACGCCTGAAGTGCAGGCGCGCATCAATGAGGCGGCGGAGCGGTTATTGAGGGAGGGCGATGCGGATGGAAATGGCATCAATGAGATGGGATTGGGACGCGAGGCGAATAGCATTGGGAGGGTGCAGCCGTTCTTGTACTTTCCTGCGGGCGTGATACGAGGATGTTTGGAAGGGCTGGGAATCAGAGCGAGTGTGCACGCTGAGTGCAGTGCACTACCGAGCGCGACGTTCCAGATTCGGACTGCTGGAGCGAAGAACTAGAAATTCGTGCAAGGAGTGGAGCATGGTGTGTCATTAAGCGGCATTGGGCGGCGTTTGGGAGGCATAGCGAGTTCGTCTCGACACACATCACAAGCAAGGAGTCATGGTGTCTTCAGTAGATCCATTGGTTTATCTAAATGGGAGGCTGCAGTAGCTCTACTTGCATATAAGTATGCATGACCATAGAAATTTCTCTTTTGTGGTGTTCATCTTTCGTCATCGTTTCAGGGTATCATGGCCTATCTGTTGAAGTTTGTTAGAGTCTTGTGACCCACGCAGGGGACTGACTTACTTGGCAGGAGGGTTCTGGGCAAACTCGACGCCCTTCGAGATGTTGCCCTTGAGGCCGTCGTAGCAAGCCTGGAGCAGCTTCTTCTCGTGGTCGTTGGCACCGCTGACAACGTCGATGGCCTTCTCAGCACCGCTGGGGCCGAGCTCGATGGGAACGGAGAAGAACTCGGTGCCAGTAGCCTTGGCAACAGCATCGCCACCCTGGACACCAGGGAGGTAGACGAAGCTGGGCTCGATGAGGCCCTTCTCGCCCTTGGCGGCCCGGATGACCTTGTCGGCGAATCTGCGGAGGTTAGCCATGGTGAAGGATACATGTGCCTACTCTACTTACCGGTAGCCGGCGTAAGCCATGGAGAGTGTGGCAGAACCAGCACCGTCCTTGGCCTTGACAACCTCGTCACCACCGAACTGGACGCCTGTGTCTTGTCAGCCACATGGAGTGTGTTCCAAGTATTGAGGACTTACGGTTTACGAGAGCATCGAGCTTGTCAGAGGGAATGCTGACGCTGGGCTTGGCCTGGCTGAACAGAGGTACAATGGTCTCGCCAGAGTGACCGCCAATGACGGGGATGTTGAGGTTTGCGGGGTTCTTCTCGCCAGTGATCTCGGCGACGAAGGTCTCAGCACGGACGACGTCGAGTGTGGTGACACCGAACAGCTTCTTGGGGTCGAAGACACCCGCGGCCTTGAGGACCTCGGCGGCGATGGGCACTGTCGAGTTGACAGGGTTGGAGATGACCAGGATGTAGGCCTTGGGGCAGTGCACGGCAATGCCCTCAATCAGACCCTTGACGATGCCGGCGTTGATCTTGAAGAGATCGTCACGGGTCATGCCAGGCTTGCCTGCAGATTGTCAGCGCGAGCTCGGCGAATTGCTGAAACGCTCGCCAAGACACACGTACGAGGGATACCGGCGGGGATGACGACGATGTCAGCGCCCTTGAGTGCGCTCGCGAGCCCCTCATCCTTGGGCAGGTAGCCTGTTACTTTCTGCCATCTGTCAGCTCCTCTGGTATGTGTATGCCGCGTGGGGGCTAGCTCGTACAGCTGGGGAGGAAATGTGTGACAAATCGGTAGCGACACCGGGCGAGTTGACAACATCGTAGAGGGCGAGCTCGGTGACGTGCTGGTTCTGCTTGAGCAGAAGAGACAATGGCTGTGCGTGGTTAGACACGATTTGAAGCTCTGCAAGCTCGTTCTCACCTGACCAATGCCTCCGGCGGCACCTGCGACAACGGCCTTGACCATTTTGTTGAGCTGTGAAGTGGTGGTGATGTGGTTGGAAATAGAGCGGGGTAGCTTCAAGTACTGCGGGGTACTAGTGAGGAAAGAGCAATTGAAGCACTGAAGCAGTGGAGTGGGAGAAAGACGAAGCTGGAGAAAGAGTAGAAGAGGCAACAGGCGCAGCAGACTCGAAGTTTAAGTACAAGCGTGTTGCACGAGATGGGGTCAACGGAGCTCGACGACCTTGGCGCAGGGGCGTGGGCGTGCGGGTCTCGATTGGCTCGGCCGGATTCAAAGTGGTCTATGGAACGCGGGCTAAAGGCAGTCGTAACTTCTGCATCTCGAATGGCAACTTCTGGCTTTCTTTGAGTTTGCCTGCAGCAGCCCTACACAAGCGCACATGACGATGATGACATTCCGGGGAGCCTCGGTGCGTCGACGGCAACCGTTCATCACAAGCTCGGAAGGGACCGGGACCCGCGCGGCCGCAGAACATACATATGCACGTGAGACAGGCAAGAGTGCGCAGGTTGCTCATTTTGTGTGTTTGTGAAAACGCCAGCCTCCCGTAAGGCCATCCGCGGCCGTGCCAATGCCAGACCCATAGCTCCCAAACGCCGTGCGACTACCAAGCCGTATGCCGCAACAAGAGCCGCACGAGAACGCCAAATGTGGACAAGCATTGTCCGATCACCGAATTGCCTAAAGCGCATTCCTGAAGACTCGCATCTATGAATGCTCCATGCTCGCAATCTATTGGCCACCCCGAGGCCCCAGCTAGGGACCAAAGTCTTCCCTCTCGCCCTCAGCATCAGCGTCTGCTTCAGCGTCACCACGGTAGCCTTGGTGGTCGCCCGCTCCAGCAGGGTCAGGTCCTCGCTGGCCAACGGGGTACATCTTTGTCTCAGGTCAGTATAAACGCTCGCAGCGTGGTGGATGGACTTACTGGCTGCTGCATGGGGTAACCGCCGTACACCCCTTGATCGAACATGTGCTGCTGACCGTACGCGTTGGGGTCGGCCTGAACGGCGCCTGCATACATGTTCGGCTGACGGAAGTCCTCCTGCGGCTGCATATGCTGCCCCATACCATAATCTGGCGGAGGCATTTGGTGCTGTGCGTGCACTTGCTGTTGCATGCCGCCCGGAGGGACCTGTGCAGCGGACGACTGTACGGCCGTAGTTCCTGCGGCACCTCTCTTATGAGGATGCGCCTCCTCTCGAGGGACAATGTCGATGAGGAAGTCGAACATATCAGACTTCGACAGGGCGGACGCAATGTCGGAGCGCTGCAGTGTGCGGCGCTTGTTCTCCTCGGCGTGTATCCAGGCGCGCATGGTAAGCTCCGTGATGAAGATGTCGCAGCCCTTCGCAAACAAGATGGGCGCTTCGGCCGAGATCATCTTGACGTCTGGGTCTGCCTTCATGACTTTCTTGATGCGCGCAAGTGGAAGCTGGTGCAGCTTGTAGTCGTGCTCGTCCGTCTCGAGTTTCGTGACTTGTTGTTGCCAGTACGTGTTGAGGATGTCCCGATAGTTACCCGTCAAGCCCTGGTTAACCTGTCACAGTCAGCAATGGAGATGCGCGTCGCGCAGAGAGGCTGCATACGTTCTGCCACGATTGAGTGAAGAGCTGTGGATCGGGCGCATGGCCTTGGGCGGCAATCTGAACCAAATGTCAATGATCAATCTACGGCGATTGCAGCGCTAGCGCGCCATTGTGAACATACAGCAGCAGAGGCGCCTGTGAATGCAGTCAGCTTGGTGTACCCACGGCGCGACCGAAGCGCGTTCTTGCGCCAATGCGCCTCGAGAAGATGCGGACTCACCATAATGACCTCCGTTTTGAGGGTCGTAGAGAGGATTTCCGGCCTGCCCGTCATACCGCCTAGGGGCTGCCGGTGCTGCGCGCATCTTCTGCTGGTTGTGACCTTGGAGCTGATCCATGGCGGCGGTATTGCGCGGGCGTTACGCGACGACGACAGAAGACGCGTCTGCTTAAGTAATGCAGGTGGATGGGGTAATCTGTATGACGCAATGGGCGCAGAACTCCTGTGCGACGCTCAATAGCTGCTTGGGATACCTATGCTGTGGTGATGCCTGGTGGTGGATGACCGAGCTCAAGCAAGCTGGAGTGGGGGCTGGCAGTGTTGCTCGGGCCGCTTTTAGTGACGACTCTGGTACCGATCACAAAGATCGTCAAGGGACAGGGCTGCGAGTTTACAACGAGCTTGATAATAAGATGAATAGTGAGAATCAGAGTCGGACCCAGTGTCGAAGCTGATTCGAAGACAGCAAGCCTGGTCCCATGCTTATATCTATCTCGCGGTGATTGTTGCACCGAAAACAGCCATCACAATACCTAGGCCTGACCGCGCGATCACAGTACAGCGCCTATGCATGTGCGTCACATCTGACCTCACACAGAGCTCACGCTCTAACCATGGCAATCTGACCTCATCCAAATCGTTGCTGAGTCTTCAGACATCACACTGCATTCGAAGCGGCGCACAATGTAGAGAACGAATGCATCTCTGTGCAGGGGTTTGATTGGACGTGAAGACAACGAGCCCGCTTGTGATTGGCTGCACCAGCCGTCCAGTGTGCGTTGGCCTTCCCTAGGGCCGAGGGACGCGTTACGGTGAGCCGACTCGCATCATCGTCTTCTGCGGCATGAAAGTGAAGCTGATCATGGTACCGGCATGTACATAGCTTTGCCCGCTGTTCCTGCCGTCACGGCTGTTCTGAGCGTCGGCCCGTGAAGCTGCCGATTTCGATGCTGGCCCGAGCGTCATATCCTCTCAAAAAGTTTCGCCCGCAAAATCTCCAAACTTTGTGCATCCCACGCAAACGCCAACATGGAGCTTCTGCCAGCGCATCAGCCTCTCCTCGAGGATGACACCGATGAAGAGCTTTCTGATCAGCAAATCAAGGAGCTGCTCAACGAGGCTGCCGAACGCATGCGCGCAAAGGCAGCCTTGCAGCCAGTTGCTGCACCAGACGCGCCTTTCAAGCTTCCCAAGCTGAGGCCTGGGCACATCGCCGACACATACGAGAAGACCGAGGGCAACATCGCTCGTCTTGATCACTCAAAGCTAATCGACAAGAAGCAGCTAGCTCTTGCTAATGGTATCAAGAAGATCGATGACCCTATCGCCGACAAGCGCGCGCGGAAAGAGGTACGTTCAAACATTTTTCAACCTTCCCTGCCGGTGATGATAATTTATCCCAAACTTTTTCCTGACGCAGATTCGGGCTCCGTCTTGGACGCCTTCCTGCACCATCTGATGGTTTTTATTCATAGTTACACTGAGGCACATCATACACTTTGCTGTTCACAACTATCTTCTATAGCACAAGCTGACAGCATTGACAGGAGAAGAAGGCGACCGCTGGCGCTGAGTGGTTCAATATGCCCAAGACCAATCTCACTCCCGAACTCAAGCGTGACTTGCAGCTTCTAAAGATGAGGAACGTCTTAGACCCTAAGCGCCACTACAAGAAGGACAACGCGAAGAACGATGTCCCTGCGTTTTCGCAGGTCGGCACCGTCATTGAGGGTCCAACGGAGTTCTTCAGTAGTCGTCTGAGTAACAAGGACCGCAAGCAGACTCTGTTGGAGGAGGTCATCAACCAGGAACAGCAGAGCGGCCGCTTCAAGCGCAAGTACAATGACATATCCGTCAAGAAGGCCAGTGGAGGAAAGAATTTCTACAAGAAGCAGCAGGCCAAGCGCAACAAGGGCAAGGTCTTCAAGCCTTGAGCATGTCGATTTGGCAAGTACCAAGCTTTGCATCTGTTCGCTAGCGGACGCCTTGCTGCCTACCTGCCCAACATCCTATCAACGTGTCACACATCACAGCGAAATTGGTGTGGGCCCTGCAGATCTGCGACAGCAGCATGTTCGATATGTGCTCACTTGCATCGTCGATTACCTCGATTCGACTTACTCCTCGTGCAAGTCGCTAAGTACCTGTTTGACAAGGGCCACCATATCCTTCGCTGCCTCTCTCCCAGCGTCCAAGACCTCTGCGTGGTTCGCCATGCCCTTGGTCAGATGGGCTGTGAGCTCCGCCCTCTTCATATCCTGAATTTCAGGATCGCTGCCCTTGGAGCCAGCTTCCAGCACAGCGCTGTTGGTCACCAGGCTGAAGGCCAGAACCCTGACGCCGGCGTGCCGTGCGACGATGATCTCTGGCACGGTTGACATGCCGACCACGTCAGCGCCGAGCATGTTGAGCATTCGGCACTCGGCGCGTGTTTCGTAGCTATACGTGTCAGCGTTTGCCTAAACACATCAATAGAACAATGAAATCATTGGCCAACTTACGTTGGGCCTGCAACAAATGCATAAACGCCCTCGTGAAGCTTTCGTTGTCCCTTGTCGAGACCCAACTTAACCCAGGCCTTGTGCGTCCGTTTCCTGAGGTCAAGGTCATATGCGTCTGAGAGGGGTGGGAATCGGGTGCCAAACTCCTCGATGTTGGGTCCACGCAGGGGGTGAACACCGACCAGTCCGGCCATGTTGAGGTGGTCGTTCAAGCACACAATGTCTCCGACCTTGTAGCTCTGGTTGAGTCCACCCGCGGCGTTAGTGACAATGATGGTCTCGACACCAAGCAGCTTGCACACACGTGTTGCGAAGGTGGCTGCGTCCATGGAGTGGCCCTCGTAGAAATGCGCCCGCCCAACAAGCAGAGCTACTGTTGTCTTCTGGGGACCAATCTGCCCGAAGACGAACTTGCCTGCATGGCCAACGACTGTGAACTGCAATTAGCGATGACTCTTCATGCTTTCAAACAAACAAAGCTATTGCTCTGCTTCTACTCTCTCTAAATCCATCTCCTTGCCACATGACTCGAGGTTGGTGATGTTGCTGACTCACCTGTGCTCTGAGGGAAGTTAGGGATGCTGCCGTAGTCCAGGGCAATCTTGGGCTCGGCCTCGATCGTATCTGCCAGTCCACCCAGCCCAGATCCGCACACAATGGCTACCTTCGGGTGCTGCAGGGCCTCGGGTAACTGCTGTCGTACATAGTTTGCGGTCTCGGTGGCGCGGACATACGCATTGGGCGCAACAGCTTGATCGATTGATGCCATGATTTCCAGCTCTTTCTTCTCTGATCTCAGTGTGAGGGGGAGAGGGAAGAAGAGAAGAAAACACAGACTGGATCAGAGTCAATCGAGCCTTAGTGACTCGGCGGATATCTAATCGCGTGGGGAAGGTCCTCCAGCATGATGCGGCGGACGCCGACGTGCCGAGCTATTGCCGGAAGCGTGCTAGCGCACCTGCAATTGAAGAAGTTGGAGACATCATCAACACCAGCGGCAAAGCAGCAATGGCGGCGCCGAGATGTATGCGCTCCTTCCTGGGGCCGGCGAAGCGCATAAAGGTGAGATGATAGCGAGTAGCCGGCGATTGCAATGGCGGGAATGCGACGACCGCTGGTGTGGCAATGGCATGATCAGAACTCACGCATACAGATCACACACGCCGCGCGACCCTTCTCGACAACCCCGCACCGACGAGCATTCGGTGAAGACAACGAGACTGAGGAGGAGGCCGTAGCTGGGTTTCTAGAGGCAGTCGAGAGCGGCAAGATCCCGCTGGACGTGCTGCAGAAGGGCTTCGACATCGACCCGGCCGAATACAAGGCGTACGCAGCCCGACCCACGCGCGACGAAGCGTCTGCTGACAAGGCCTCAGTCTGTTCAACAGCCAGAAGAAGGCCGCCAAGCGCGCGGCGAAATGGGAGCCCAAGACGCGCGAGGAGGCCCAGCAGAAGTGGAAAGAGCTGCAGAGCGCGCCCGATGACCTGACGCTGCTGCGCGTCTTCAAGCGCAGCGGCATCGAGCCCCTGAAGCTTGCCGAGTACGCCTGCCCCTCTCCGCACGCTCGTCGCCTCTAACAACCCCGCAGGGAGCGCGGCATCAAGCTGCCCACCGACAAGGAACCCCTCGACGAAAAGACCCAAGCCGCCCTCGACGCCCTCCGCGACCCCGTCAACGTCCGCGCCCTCAACATGCGCCCGTTGCGCCGCGAACCCCAGTACGGCGTGCCCGTGTGCGACCTCCAGCTGCGCTCCTACCAGGTCGAGAACCTGCTCCTGTTCGCCGACTTCGCGGTGCGCGCCGCATACTACATGGGGCTGTGCGCGCGCGGGCCGGTGCCGCTGCCGCGCATCACGGAGCGCTGGACCGTGCCGCGGTCGCATTTCGTGTTCAAGAAGTCGCAGGAGAACTTCGAGCGCATCACCAAGCGGCGGCTGATCCAGATCCGCGACGGGCACCCGGACGTGGTCAAGGCGTGGCTGGCGTTTGTTACCGAGCACCAGTTCCACGGCGTCGGTATGAAGGCGAATGTCTGGGAGTATGAGGACTTGGAGACGGCGACACGCGCCGGTGAGGCGATACAGCCCGATGATGTGAAGAGGAGGAGGGAGGGCCCGATGATGGCTAAGGTCGATGAGATTTTGAATAGCAAGGGCTTCAAGGAGGCGATGGAGGGGCACAAGACGCCGGGTGAGATCGAGTTCAGGAGGTAGAGGGGATTGTATGATATGGATCACGCATGGATGAGCGTTGATCGTGTGGGCTATGGCTGTACAAACAATGAACGTGTAGCAACATCTGCAAAGCTCTCTGGCGTACTGCTGCATTTCGGCTGTGAGATGTGCTGTGCTGATCATGCTAACATTTAGATTTACACACTGGTTAGATGTATGTGGCTTTGGTAGGAACAGCAGCCTCGAGAATTCGGCGTCTCCTCCAAGGACATCTCCTGTCATGCTTCCTCTTACTCATTTACTCGTTGCCCTCCCGGCGTCCCTCCATCACAGTACAACCCCTTCTCAATCCCGTTCTATCCTCGCAAATGCTTCGCTCCCCCAGTCTGCTCTCAAACTGACGCGCTTGATGGCCTCTACCACTCACAACACGTGAAGTCGACTCTCGCCGCCGTTGCCTCCAGCCGAGGAGAGACATCTGATCGTCACGGCACTTCGTTTCCAGGCCAGATATTTCATCTGAAGGCCGGCGTAGGAGACTTGTGGGATCACTGTTCGATCCCGTAAACGCACATGGCCTCGCTCTTCATGACACCAGATGGCAAATGCAGCACAGCGAGTTTCAATCACTGCTCTCGCCCGCCTGCACACTCTCCTTCCCCTCAGCTTCAGCCTTGGTCTCGGCCTCAGCATTGGTCTCAGCCGCCCGCCGCTCCTCAGCGTCTTTCTTCTGCCGCTCCTTGACTTTCCGCGGCTTCTTCGCGCTCAGCGGGCCATCTGCATCGCGGTCCTTCCACTGTTTTTGTGTCAGCCATTTCCTCTCGTCATTTCAAACTTATTTCCTGCACTTCAGCCCTAGTCTGCTCCTAATCCACCCCTAATCTGCTCACAACCCGAACCCCCAGCCCGACCCCCAGCCCGAATCGCCACACAACCTTCCCCCTCCCAAGCCCCATCTCCCAAACAAAATCCAGCAAGACAAAGTAGAAAAAGACTCACCATCCCCCCATAGCGATACCCCGGATACTTCCCCTCGAGCCCGCGCGCGTCCTCGACGCCGCCGCTCACAGAGTGCCAGCACTTGCCGGGGCACACGAAGTGCCACGTGCCTGTGGCGTCGATTTGGCAGCGGATTAGGACGGCCGCGGGGTTGCGCAGAGGGTGCACTGTTTTGGTGCCATTTTGGGTGAGGGGGCGGGAGGGTGATCGTGTGTAGGGCGAGGGTATTGGAGATTGGTTTTGTGGATGTGTTTGGAGAGAGGGCGGGTTGGGTGTTGTGCAGTATTTAGGTGCTCTGGGTGTGGTGGTGAGTGGTGAGTGGTGAGTGGTGATGTCATGGCTTGTGGCAGCGTTTTGGCCTCACGACAATGCGATCGGCCTCAGATCGTAATGGAATTTCGTGGCATTCGTTACAATGGTGATTTAACTTATAAACTCTGCTGTTTGCTCACCGCATGGCTAACCCCTCCTCCCCCTCCCCTGCGTACCGCTCATCCGCCAACAGCAACTCGAGAATCGCATCCAGCAACTCCTGCTTCAGCCCGCGGTTCGACAACGCACGCACTTTGTTCAGAACAGGCTCGGAGTTGTTCACGCAGTTCCAGATATCCCATTTTTGGTCCATCTCGATCCACGCCTTGTCGATAATGTCCCAGATCTTCGGATTCGGGTCGATGATGTCGAGCTGCGGGCCCGAGGACGAGGCGCCGAGCTCGATGATGATGGTGTTGTTGGTGGGATGCGCGCCGAGGGTGAGGAGGGTGCCGGTGCTGTCGTGCGAGGTGGTGAAGGAGAGCGGTTTGGCGTTGCGCTTGGTGCTTGGGCTCGTGGAAATGCAGCGGATTTCGGCTTTGTCGGCGGGGGTGTGGGCGAGCAGCTTGATGGTCCAGGTGCGATTCTTCGGGATGGCGGAGTTGGGTGGGCTGGTGGGACCGATTGTGAGCACACCGGTTGACTGCTTGAAGGTGATGGGTGTGTAGCTGAAGTGCACTGTTTGGTCGGCCGGGGCTTCCTCGCCCTCGTCGTCGATGAAGCGGAAGCCGCCGTCATCAACTTGCGAGCCAGTGCCGTCGTCTTCGATCAGTGTGAAGGACCCATCTGCGCCAACAGCAAGTAGGATTTCGATCGACTCTGGGTTCGGGCTGCCGCTCTTGGGTCGCCACGCTCCATCGAGGGGCACGATCGCGCCTTCGCGCACGAAAGCAGGAGTCTGGTTCAGTGGTCGGTGCACTTGCAGGTCGCCCTTGCGGTTGTAGACGACACCAGTAAAGATGTCGACGTAGCGACCGTTCGGCAGCCATAACTTGGAAGCGCCAAGGTGGGTGGTGTTGTCGCGGCGCTGGGTGACAGGAGCTACAATGAGCTCGCTGCCGAAGCGGAACTGATTGGGAACGTTGTAGGCCGAATCTTCTTCTGGGTGGTCCCAGTACATAGGCTGGACAAGGGGCTCATCGTTTGAAGCCGAGCGAGCGTTCATGGTGTAGAGATATGGGATGAGCCTGTGGCGGAATCGGAGGGTATCTTCCATGATGACTCGACTTTCCTCGGTGAATCGCCAGGGCTCTCGGGTGTTGAAGGGGTTGTTGTCCGAGTGCAATCGGAGAATGGGCGAGTAGCAGCCCAACTGCACCCACCGTGTCGTCAGTTCGTCGTCTTTGTAGCCGTGCGTGTGACCTCCAATGTCGTTGCTCCACCAGCCGTAGCCAATGTTCGATGCCGTAGCTGTGAATTCAGGCTGGAAGTTAAGCGACTCCCAGGTAATAATAGCATCGCCAGAGAACCCAATTTGGTAACGCTGTGCACCTGGACCGCCGAAGCGTGACAAAATCAGCGGTCTCTGCGAGCCACGGCCGCTGTCGAGGAAGTGGAAGTGGTTCAACACCCACAGTGGATCAACGCCAGGGATCTTAGAGGTATTACCCTGCTGCCAGTCTACCCACCAGAAATCGACGCCCCGAGACTCATGCTGGTGGTGCACAATATCAAAGTATGCGTCCATAAACTTCCTGTCTGTGCAGTCGAACTCGATCGTCTTCTTGCTCGAAGGGTCGATGCCCAGAGATTTCGCGACTTCCGCGTATTGGGCTTCGTGCCACCTGAAGCCGTCTGCGGGGTGCAGGTTCAGAGTCAGCTTCATGCCGCGGTCGTGCAGTTTCTTCATGAAAGCATCGGGATCTGGAAACAGTTCCTTATTCCAGGTGTATCCTGTCCAGCCGTTGATACCATCAGGCAAATTCCAGACAAGGTGCCAGTCCATGTCCACCACAGCCACGTTCATAGGAACTTCGTCCTTCTCGAAGTGGTCATGCAGCTCCAGGTACTCCTTCTCGTCGTATGCATGGTATCGGCTCCACCAATTACCCATTGCGTAACGCGGGAGAAGAGGCTGGCTTCCAGAGACAGCGTAGTATGCGCGCACCGCCTCGCGATAGTCGCGGCCGTACATAAAGAGGTACTGGTCGATGTCGCTCTGATTCCTGCGGCCTGCAATCCAGCCATCCTTCTCGAACAGCATAGACTTGCTGTCGTCCAGAACGGCAATACCGTCCTTAGATAAGACACCTGGCCCTAGTTCTCTTCTTCCATTGGCGCCGTCCAATGTCCGTGTGGTTCCACCCAAGTTCGAGACGTTCTGACCGTATGTCCAAGAACCTGTCACGTTTCCCTTGAGGTTGACCTTGAGTCCCTCTGCGCTGAACTTCTTCTTGTCGTAGAGTACGTGGAAGCGTTTCGTGACGATCTCGATGCCGTGGCCGCGGTCCCAAACATAGAAGTCTGGCACGGCTAGCTTTCGGTTGACCGCGAAGGTCGATGCTCGATCTTCGAATTTGCCATCCTCAGACCACTCGAATCGCAGGAGACCGTCTGTAAGGATAGTGAATCGGTACTTGTCGCCCGCGACAATAGCATCCGGGTGTGCGACGGGGCGCACATCGAACGTGTAACGCGCTGGCTTCCCCATGGCTGGCAGGCAAAGAATACACAATACAAACTATGCAGCGCCTCTTAGTGTCAAGAGGATCGAAGGCGTCCGGGGCATTGCGGGGCGCAGGAACGCCAGCGTCTCCATCTTGTTATACCGTCCGGGGAAGGATGCTTAGGCCAAGCCATGGTGGCTTGATTTCGGCGGCTCGTGACCTCGGCTCGGGCGCCCCTGCCCTGTTGGTGGGTCAGACGACGACTCGACGAGGTCGGCACTCCTGCCAGAGCCCGTGGTCAGTCCATAACGGGAGTTCGAAGAGTCGCGAGGTCGCTGGTGTAACACAGGTGGAGCTGCAGAGGGTCCACGCGCCTGCGTCATTTCTTGTTCTTGGAAGAGCTGCAGGCACGCATGCAGCTGTGGGGTGGTGCACCAATCAACCGCGGTTTGAGGCCAGACGACGTCCCAAACAATGTGCATAGGCAGAAGAAGGAACGAATCTGATGACTATCCTTCAAACTCAACTCGCATTTTCCTCCCTCGAAGGCCAGCTGCCTAACACCGTACGACGAGATGCAACCCGATGCAACCCCTTGGTCTCGAGAGAACGCCTCATGACAAGATGGCGTGCGTCACTGCTAGAAGATGAGCGCGCATTAATCATGGTCTCACAGATATTAAACAGCGGACGATGTTCACGCAGCTATAATATTGTAACCGGTGTGCGTCTGTCTGCATACCTGTCGACTAGGTGGCGATAGTATACGAATGACACCTGTTAAGATTGCGGATGGAAGACAGGAGGATGAGTAAAGGCGGGTATCAAAATGCACTGTTTAATTACTGCTCCAAGTATTGACTTTCATGGTAGCAACCTGCACGATTCGTGTTTTTCGAAATCAAATAGCTACCACCAATCCAAATGTATCGGGTAGTGAGAGCATCTATTTTGATCGGTGTATGCCTACGTGAGACGATACGAGGGGTGGCTTCCTGTCTGAAACTCTCTAGTAAATGACATGAAGTGTGTCCATTGATTGGCAACGTTCTAGCATGTCAAGCAGTTGTTGCAGAGGAAATATTGCAGAATGATCAGGACCTGGCACATATTGACGAACAAGATATAGCCCACGAGGTCTTACGTACTGTCTTCTGTGGAAATCAAGAGACCTTCAATGAGTGCGAAAGCTTGAATGCGCCCAAGGCCGTACTTCCAACTACTGAACAAGCTGCTTCCTCGACCTCTCCTTTGCAAGTTGCAATCATGTGACTCTGAACTGCGATTTGCTACAGTAATGGCGTTCAACGGAGAAGGACTTCCTACTTGCATATTTAGAACCTCTATCTAGTTTTGAACCCACACAGTTCAATACTTTTGAAACGCAACGCTAAGTTGGACAGTTTTACTTCCCATTCTGCCGTGAGTTCATAATCCTTGGACGAGATGTTCTCTACGACTATCCCACCCTCGTAGGTATGATGTAGTCTGATATGTTCTGGCCAATCAAAGTTGTCGTGTCTCTCACGTATCAGGTAAGGCCTCCCATCCTTTTCTACAACCTCATAGTCCTTATTATATCGGTAGTCCTTTGAATGACGAGTTAAGTATTGCCCTTGAGCTGTGACTACAACACAGCAGTGCCAGGGCTGAAGCCCGAAACCCTCAGGCTGTGGTATCAAAGGAATTGGAATCTTCGTTTCGCCGGTTGACCGATGAATTGAGAGTCTGATGTGGCCGGGAAATGCAGCCTCTAAGGCGCCCTCATAAGCCTAAGAGGAGCCACGTCAGACAAAAGCTCGGACACAAAACATGTAGATGAACTCACCAGCAGACGGTCAGTCAATCTGATTGCGACCTTTTGGGTTTCTTCAGTGTAAAGCACTCTATCGTCTCTGATCCGCGGATCAAGATCTAGTCCCCATCGCAGATCCTCATCGGCAAGCTTTACATATGCCTGATAGGTCAAGTTCGTGTCTTTGTGGGATTCGATCTTTTTTTCAATCTGCAAGCTTGTAGGCAGAAATCTAGCTTCCATCTCAGTCCGGCAGGTATCTGCCAGGGCTAGATATTCAGCCTTAGACAAGCTGTCTGCGTCTGCGATTCCGAGCACATCCGCTAGACGTCTGAATCGAATGCGTGTGAACCCATTCTCAGTGACAAGTTTGCGTAGCTTAATACCGTAGTCGTAGAAATCAGCGTCAGGGATGCAGAGCAGATCTAATAATTTAAATCAGTAATGGAGTCACACCATCTACAAACTATAGCCTACCGTTGTAGACAGGGCCGTCAGATACCATAGTAAGATTTGCACCATACGGATATACCTTTCTCAAATCATCGCAAAGATGATTGAGTCTCGATAGACCCAGAAATTCTCCAAAATCGGGGCTTCGTGTGTCTAGGACTTTGTGTGGAGACGAGTTTTTGAATGGTGCAGCCGGCAGGAGTAAAGATATTGGGGTTTTGGATGCATAGCTGAGCTGAATTTTCGAAGTGGCTGCAGCAATATAACCACGCGCTTTGTTTAGCCGCTCCTGTTCTTCAAAAAAGGCGAACCTTTGGAAGACAGCAAGGACTGGTGCAATATCGAATGTCTTGTCACCACTCATAATGCAAATGTACAATGAGTCAGAGGAGCAAACGCAAGATTGAAATTGATGATTGTCAAAGCAGACTATTTTCAATAGGATAGTAGTTTAGTGCAGAGAAGGTAGGATGCGCTCCATTTATACCGGATTGTCTACCACCGCGCAACCGTGTCCGCGAGACCATTGTTCTGAGTGCAGTGTCTGTGCGTGTACCGCACACAATAAACAGAGCTTTAGTTCAACACTGACACAGCACATCGGGAGCATTCTCCTTGATCCTCCTAATAAGCCCGTAACGTGTACCGTGGTGTACGCCACTCAATGTCGCGGCATCTTCTTGGCAACTATCGCCCTATTGACACGACTCTTAAGATTGCAGTAGCTCTAACGTATAGCGCCCGAACTGCTTGTTGGCTCACATAATTTGTGAAAGCCACCGAGCCTCCTGATCTGTAAGAGCCACCGAGTTTTCTGATCTGTGAGCGCCACCGAGCTTCCACTAGAGCTTGGCATGGCCGAGTGCCTCCGGCTCTGAGCGTGACCTATTTCTGGAAATCACTTCATCACAACGTGATTAAGCGTGCTTGTAGTAGTTAGTGACGTTCGTAACGTGTGCTAGTCGTTACTACGGTAGATTCCTGCAACACACGACGATAGGAGTGCAAAGATCGATTTGCTGAAAAACTTGCTACAGTCGTAAGGGTAGGACGCTCTGGTAGCCAGATATCGTAGACTGTGTCTTCAGTCACCCATGTGCAGACCCAGATGTTGCTCAAAACCCACGCTCCTTCGCCAAGGGTTTTTGTTTTAGAGGGCATCATTGGGCTACATGGACAAAAACTGGTCAGGCTAATTAACATTTATGCAGCGATGAACCCCCTCTATCCTAATCCTACGTGTATTTTGTACAGTACCACTGATCGCAGTCTTTGTTGAGAAAGCATGCAGATATTTTCCCCATGGTCAATGCAACGCATCACTTGATGTCAACGATATCCGATGCTAGTTTTCCAAAACCCTCGAGAATCACCTTTCCTTGCATACGAGTCAGAGCGGCCATTTTCTTCAAGTCAGTCTCGGAAAACGACACCTCCTTATGAGCCCCCCTATTTCGTACGATCAAACCCCCACCGTATAGATGACTGAACTCAACTTCCGCATCCCACGAATAAAGTGCAGAACGCTCACGGAAGCAGTACGGTCGACCGTCTTTCGTTACCAAATCATAGTTTTCCCGCAAAGTCGCTGCGTGCCCTGTTCTGAACTTTCCATATACATCCACGGCTACTGCACAGTGCCAAGGTGTCATTGAGAAGGAGTCGGGCTGGGGTATCAACGGCATGGAAATTTTCGTCAGACCGGTCGAGGGATGAATCGACAGACGAACGTATTCCGGATATTTCTCTAGGATTAACGCTGCAAAAGCCTAGCATTCCATGTCAGCAAACGGTAGCTCATATGTTCAAGTCGGCATTTTCTCATACCACACCACGAGCAATCATCGCTTTCGCCGTATTGTGGACCAAGCATTTCCACTTCTTTCCGCTGGATATACTTTTTCTGAGAGGGCTAAAAGCAAGATCTTTCTTTAAGAACTTAGCATACCCATCGTAGGTTGATTTATAGTCCGGGTCGTTCTGAATATAGTAGTTCGCATCAAAATCAGAGTCTCCATATTGGGACATGAGCTCCAAGCGTGAAGGTTCGAGCAAACGTGTGAACTCATCCTTGGAAATTTGCTCACCAGTGTGCAGCCCTACAAGATTCATGATGCGTACGAACTCAATACAGTGATAGCCCTTCTGAGCCACCAACTTGCGTAGAGCAGATCCGTATTCCCAAAGATCATCGGGAGTAACTCCTGTAAGATCTTCATTCCATTAGCTCGTGTCTCTGATTGCAGAATTCTTGTACCAACCGTTGTAACAAGCGCCATCAGTTGCGACGAGAACTGTGGCACCAGGTTCGTATACCTGACCAATCTGAGTACACAGATCATTCAGCCTGTCTAAAGCAAGCTCTTCGCCGAGGTCCGGACTGCTGCCCAATACTTTGTCCTGGACGTTGATGCTTTTAGCAGGAAAAGCTGGCAAAACCATGGGAATGCGTCGACCTGCCGAGACATGGCGATGGACCCTTGGTGAGAAGACCTCTTTTCCCATGAACACGTCATTGCCATGCTGTTGCAGGCTGAACTTTTCCAGGATTTTCATAATCGCAGTGACTATTTCGTCGACTTTGAAACCCTGCTTATTCAGCACTTCTTCGCTGTCACTGGGTCGATCGTTTCTCAGTGTTCCATTTTTCAAATCCCTGGTCACGTAGTTGTGTGAGAAATAAAAATCTTCACGACCGTATATATCCTCGACCACGGACGGCCGTAGGAATGCTGGGTCGTGGGCTGCAGTTGGTGTAACGGAAAGCATGACTGAAAGGATACGTAAAATCTGTGGCACAAGTTCCTATGAAATGGGCTCATGAAGAGACAACACTTTAGTATTTAGCATCAGAGTGTATGCCAGCTGCTAGACAGGGACGTTCGGCTGTACTCTTCTCAGATAAATAGAGCCGATCTGTTAGGCCCTGATCGAGGTCTAGATTCCTTAATAGAATCTAAGGACAGAGTCATAGCCAGAGCGTCAAGCAACGTTTGCCAAGTTGTAACGTCTGTCTAGTGTTGTCTGTAAGTGGGTGCACGTAATCAAATGCTATGTTAGCTACTACACCTATCACTATTATTATAGCACTATGTATAGTATAATTAGACCCTATAATAGATTGTCCAACCTCTGACTAAGCTTGGAGATAAGTATGCGAGGAGTTAGATGCAGATTAGGTAATAGCTAGCTACTTTCACGTGTAAAACAAACTTCTACCTAACTATTCCTAGATATACCACGACCATTACTCAAACCTAAGACTGTGCTACCCTGACCTAACTATCGTTCTAAAGTTTGTATAGCCCCAATTCGACCCTAACACTCTGCTAGGTCCCTTAAACTCATTTGCTAGCCTCTAGATGGCTTAGATGCCAAGTTAGGTAGAATTATTATCATTATATCAGTAGGTCCGTTAGGGCACCCCCTACTAAGGAAACAGTTTTCTACTTAGTTGTTTTTGAAATAGTCTTATATGTCCGGTGTTGCTCCGAAGCCTGTGCACTCGCCAAGATACATTATTAGCCACTACACATATCGGTCTTATTACGATCCTAGCGCCTACTTCTTAATCTATAAGCAAAGAATCTTGTGTTTACGTATTTTCTTAATCTAACAAACCATGCTATCCAAGACTGGAGTCGAACAACTTTCAATTCTTTTCGACTTACAACAAGTCAGTCACAGAAGGTCAAGTCCTCAGAGAGAATTTTTAAAATTGTCGCCTCGTGAACCAGCTGTGGCTCAACACATTTTTGCTTCTTTGTCTTCCGCAACACTTACCTTCTTCTTCCGCGTGCCTTGGGAAACATCTCTCGAATTCCCTCTGTAATAAACTCGTCAGCCTGGCTCACACACAATCAATCGCACCCGACATACAACGATCGACGTTCATACGTCGCACATTGACGAGCCTCAACTGGAATCTAGCTCTCAGGAAGCGAGAGATCAGAGAGCTCTTGTCTGAAACATTCAATGGAGTTAGATGCAGGTCAAAAATTAGCAGACATTCCAGATGGAGGTCTCTTGGCGTGGACGCAAGTTATCATGGGTCACTTGGTCATTTTCAATTCCTGGGGCTATATCACATCGTGAGTTGCACCGATTCTAACCATGATTATCATTCAGTGTCAGCTCTAAATGCACATTCAGTTTCGGTTTCTTCCAGCAATACTATGTCGAGCATCTGGGTCGATCATCGTCAGATGTCGCTTGGATAGGCAGCACGCAAATGTTTCTACTCAACTTCGTCGGTGTGTTCTCTGGGAGAACTGTTGACATGGGGTATCTCAGACACTGCCTCTTTATAGGCTGCACACTACAGGTTCTGGGGGCATTTATGACAGCTCTATCAACAGAGTACTGGCAGCTGTTCCTTGCCCAAGGAATCTGCAGCGGTCTCGGGCATGGCTTTGTTTTCGCGCCTATCGTCTCTGTTCTACCGACTTACTTCAAGAGGCACAGAGCGTTAGCTGTTTCCTTAGCCACCTGCGGAGCTTCGACAGGTGGTATGGTATTCCCGCTTATCGCATACTCTTGCCTTGATCGTCTAGGATTTCGATGGACTGTACTGATCATGTCGTTCGTCGTTACATTCAACGCTGCAACAATCCTCACCTTTACAAAGACACGCGTCCCAGTCAGAAAGCCAAGATCATTTTTCGATGCGCGAGCACTACAGGAACGATCCTTTGTTCTCTTCATCATTGGATCTTTCTTCTGTCTATGGGGGGTGTATTTTGCTTACTTCTATGTGCGTTCCTTCTTCCTTCCTTTTTAGTACGCGAGTAACTAACAAATTTAGATTGGCGTATTCGGCCGTTCAACGCTCAGCTTTTCTCAAACACAATCACTGCTGGTTATAGTTGTTATGAACGGCGTGGGCCTATTTGGTCGGGTTCTACCCGCACTCCTAGCTGATAGATATTTTGGAATCCTGAGAACACTCATCCCCGCAGTTGGCATAAGTGGAATTCTGCAATTCGGTTGGATAGGTGTTAGCTCCACCGAAGGACTCTTTGGATGGGCTGTCGTCTATGGAATCGCAGCCAACGCTACGCAGAGTCTCTTTCCAGCGGCAGTTGGAGACTTGAGTACTGATCCAACGAGAGTGGGTACCAAGGTCGGCATGGTTCTCGGCTTCGTGAGTATTTCATGTCTCACAGGGCCACCTATCGGAGGACAACTGGTCGCAATTCATGATGGAAACTTTCTATATGCTCAACTGTTCGGAGGTTCCACGCTATTGGCAGGTTGCTTGGCCTACGGATTGGTGGCCATAAACAAATCAAGATCAACATCTAGCTGATCTTGGGTGTATAAAGATCTGCAAAGGGATCTTTACTTGAATCTGTCATACGATTGTACTCCATCCTGTTTGCAATATTCTCTGCAATGTCATGACCATAAATTGCCTCGATCCACGCGAAAGTCACATCGATGCCGGCACTTATGCCGGAAGATGTCCAAATGTTCCCGTCTTGTACCCAACGAGCTTTGTGTATCCAATCAACTTCTTGTCTCAAAGCAACTGTGGCATCCCAAGATAGCTTGTTCGTGGTCGCCCGTTTCCCATCCAAAACTCCAGCACGTGCAGCAAGGCCAGAACCGGTACAGATGGTGATGAGGTACTGAAGCGAAGGATACATCCTCTTGATGAACTCAATGGTGTATATTGCATCTGGTGTACGCGTTCCTTGACCACCAGGTACAATCAGGACATCAAGAGCAGGTGCAGTCTCGAAAGTGTGAGTCGGCAGTACAAGCTGCTCAAAGTTTGATCCTCCAAGTTCTCCATTGGCGACTTTCGTTGATATGGCATCCATGGATTGACCAATAATGCACAAATTCATCTTATTTGTGCGCGAGAGCAGATTGAGCGCATCAAGAGGCCCAAAGACGTCCAGCGCCTGGAATCCAGGAAATAGAACCATCCCATAGTTTACAGGTTTGTCTACTATTATGTCAGTAGGAACTCGAATAGTGATTGGATATTTCTCACGGCCTGTGTTTTGTTGATTGGATTGAGCCATCTTTGGTACGTGGTCTTGAAGAGCAACGGATAACGTAGAACGGGAACGTTGCGGAGTTACTGGCAATGAGCGTGCTTTGGGCTCAGTCTTAGCCGATGAGAAAAATAGCCCCTTCAATGCAGGTGCAGCTGGCTTCTTCGTGTATGCAACACTAGTACTACGCAAGATTCCAAAGGACGATTTTCCGTACATGTTTCTCTCCACTTAACAAGCTGAAGACGTGTCGGCAGGTAGCCAAGATAGAATTGTGACCAACTCTTACTCTCATCGATTGATAATAAATAGGGCGAATAACGCAACATAAGGTCAGACTTCAATTTAAGAGAGGTCAATAGCATCGGCAATATCACGGTGAATAGGCCACGTATCCTCCCGGCGAGTAGGCTAGTGTAGCACTTGACCTTGTATCGGCTTTACTTCCACGTCAAGCCCCTTGATCAATTAATTTAAACCTAGTCATGGAATTTCTGCTCCTAACAACAAAGCACATCTGCTAGTCAGGCATTCACCTAAACGAACACAACCTATAAGAGATGATATCACACGATGTTGTTCTTTTTTCACCCATGAGCTTGTCTTTTTTTATGATTCTTGAAGTCTGATAATGTCTCTGCAAACTATAACCTTCTGGTTAGGTCTGTTGTCGACTGTTTTCTCCTTTGCGCAAGCTATACGAACCACCGGCACCACCGTATATCTTGACGGCATTACATACTGGATTCCCCCAGATGTGATTGGATCGCTGGATAAAACCTTTACCACCCGATTGTTCGATGCACATACTCTTGCTGCTGAACTCTTTCTTGCCCTGACCGTGATATCTACTGGGCTTGGTAATTATTCGCAAACCTCCTTAGAACACGATCTATCACGCTTTCAAGCACGGGATGATGTTTGGAGCGACGGTTTTGCTAACAGTATGAGCTCCTGAAACGGTAACTCTTTCTTGGTATTCAATAACAGATACTTAGTGGTGTACCTTCAAGTGACTCCTCGGGAGCATGGAGATTCTCGAGCTCTTTCTGAGCGAACCTGGGGAAACAGAACCATCCTCTTTGCTGAAGAAAGAGTTTACGAGAGGCTCCCTGACGGTCCTTACTTCTTGTCGTCTCGAGGGAGTATTCATCGGGCATACCGTCTTTATTCTGATCATCAAGAAGCTTTTGTAGAGTCTGTGTATACCGACCCTTCTGGCAGTCATTTCATTCTCCCAGCGCATATTTCAGGGAACGGTCTCACGATTGCAGTTCCATCTAGACTTTACTACACACCGACACCGACCAAACCGCTTGCTGGCATGCGTCTAGGTATCAAAGACATTTTTGACCTATCCGGCGTTAAATCCGGCAATGGAAATCGAGCGTGGTACAATCTGTACCCCCCTGCTAACGTAACAGCGCCTGCGGTGCAGAGGTTGCTGGACGCCGGAGCGATCATAGTAGGCAAACAAAAGACTGCACAATTTGCCAATGGAGAGTACGCGACAGCGGACTGGATTGACTACCACTCACCATTTAACCCACGCGGGGATGGCTACCAGGACCCAAATTTCTCGTCTGCAGGAGCTGGAGCTAGCGTTGCATCGTACGAATGGTTGGATTTCGCATTGGGTTCAGATACAGGGGGCAGCATTCGCGGCCCTGCTCGAGTCAGCGGCCTTTACGGATTGCGACCATCACACGGCACCACTTCGTTGCAGTTCACGCTTCCCCTTGCTCCGGAATTTGACACAGCGGCCCTCATAGTCAGGGATCCTCTTCTCCTCCACGATGCCGCTACTAAGCTGTATGCGTTGACCCGCAATAGATCTCATAATCCTTTCCCCACTCAGTTGTTAGTCGAAAAATTCCCAGTTGGCTTGACAAACGAGACAGTGACGATTCTCGACCAATTCTTGAATGAAGTCAAAGTTGTTCTCAGCGCTGAGACCATTAATTGGTTCAATATGACCACGAGTTGGCAAGACTCTCGACCCAAATCCGCACCAACAGACCTACAAGTATTAATGGCAAATACGTACGCAACAATCATCAGCCAACGTCAGAAAACGCTGGTCCGCGATCCTTTCTACACCCAGTATGCACTCCTCCACGATGGAAGGTCACCCGCCGTAAATCCTGTTCCCTTGACGCGATGGGCATTTGGAGACGCGCAACCACCCACAGCATTGGCTGATGCGCTGAATAACAAGACTGTGTTCATGGAATGGTTCCAAGATCATGTGCTCAAGGAAGATCCAAGGTCTTGCACGTCTGCCATACTGGCCTACGTCAGTCCTCCAAGTGTTCAATATAGAAACACTTACAAAATCCCACCGACGGTACCCACAGGTTTTAACAACCAATACTGGAGTGTCATGGCTGAGTCTCCTGACATTAGCATTCCAAGTAAGTGAGCAAGTTGAATCGCGGCAGGAGTTTTGAGAGTATCACTGACAGGCATGATGTAGTTGGTCAGATGTCTTACGATTCAGTGATAACAAACCATAAGGAACAACTACCTGTGTCGATAAACTTTATGGTAGCGAAGGGATGTGATCTTGTGTTATTGAATGTAATCACCAAGCTTTACCATAGGGGCGTGCTGAAAGCTTCTGCCGTCGGAGCAAGCGCTGTTGACGGTGGAGAGATATTGCAAAGAAGATAGAACAGTAGGCTAAACAGTTGCACGTTTAAGCGTCTTGTAACTTTTATCAGGATTTATTATACAACAGGGAGCAAGTTAGCTTTGTATTCCACCACTGCCTGGATCCAAGCGATATATAGAGAGGTGTCACCAGTTAGAATATTGTGCGTGCCAGTAGGAAGACGGAAGATTGATAGCCTATCACGTCTTCACCATGTTCTTGATATCGCCTCACTTCTCACACGAGACGTATCCAATATGTTCTGCTCCTTTGCATATTCCGCGATCAGTTTAAAAGAAGGGCGTTGTGTATAATTGCTGCTCTGAGAAGTGACTGTCGCCGGCGAAACGCAAGGTCCATGCCTTCCAAAATCAGACTGCTGCCGCCAAAACCAGATATATTGGGTCACAACTATTGTTCCACAACAATCACCACAGGCCCGACGGCCTACATCAATCACCTGTACGTTTAGATCAGACACGATTGCTGAACCCCACAATGATCAACCCGGTGCTATCGGCAATGCTATCAGGTACCGTTGTGGCCATAGAATCGCTTTTGGGTTTACGTTCCATCTGCTCGTTCATCCCATCTTGCACCGGAAACTGTGCTATAGGAAATGACAAGGAAGTCACCGGCATCGTACTGTGTCCGGGTTCTGCCACGTAGTAGTTCAATAGAGCCGTCCGTACACCGTGGATATGGAGCTGAGGTCGTCGTTCAATGATTTCTGTGCGAATTTCGATAGCACTTCATGTCGAAGTAACTCCAGTGAACATACAAGAATGTTATTAGAACGCTTGTAACTGGTGTCAAAGACAATATATACTAGAAAGGACCTTCCCTGCCCGCTTTGGTCGACAAGACGATTATAACAAGTAACGGAAGTACAAGTTCTCCTTGTCGGTCATATCTGCTAGGCCATTCTCGCCGTGAACCTCGGCGCCAGCCTCGTGATAGTCGCCATCCATGGAGTAGTCGATGAAGTCCCTGGAAAGGCCAGCTGCCTCACGCTGATCACCCTTCTTCTTTTGCATCCATGTAATGAGGAAGATCTGAGCGACGACTACACCCCAGAGCACGCACCAGATGATCATGATGCCCTTGAGCGCGTTGACCTGAATAATGTGAGTTCAAATTCAAATTGATCAGTGAAGGGGGTGTACTTACGTATTGTGGAGCGAACTTCGAGTTGAAGATGTAAGGCGTAATGATATTGCCAATAGAGTTACCGGCATTGAACGACGTGTAGTATACGGCCTTCTTAGTCTGACCGGCGCAGTTTGCACCCATCCATGAGATGAGAAGTGGGTTGATGGCGAAGACGAAAGCAATCAAGTAGTATCCAACAAGGAGACCGCCCTTGTTTGCCTTGTTCTTCGGGAGAGCGACTAGCAGTGCGACACCGACGATGACAATCGTGACTAGACCAAGCAAGAAGGGAGACTTGCGGCTAAAGCGAGCGGCTAACCAAGAGGCCAGCAATATCGAAACGAATTGGAGGGCACCGAATGGTATGTTGAGGAGGACGGCCTCGTCGGCGGTGAAACCGACCAACTGCTGGAGGATGATGGAGCCGAAGACGGAAGAGACCGAAGCACCAGCGTTGACAGCGATAACCATGACTGTCGAGAGTTAGTAAATAATCCTCGTTCTCGATAAATTTGCAGCACTTACTCATGTACAACCAGTACTTCGGCTCTGACCAAGCCTCCCAAACGTGCTTCCAGTTGAACGTGTGCGAGACTATACCCTGTTGGTTGGCCTTGAGACGGTCCACAGCTTTGAGACGGTCCTCGGGGGTCAGATAACGGGCCTCCCCAGGACTGTCGTGCGCCCACCAGTAAGTGAAAGCTCCAACGACGATCGTGAAAAGGCCGAAAAAGAGGTACACGACCTGGTATCGATAGAGAGTGTGCGAGTGGATGCGACCGAAGCCATAAACGATGGGCGCACTCAGCATAGTGCTAAGTCCGTAGCAGCTGTACCAGCATGCAACGCGAAAGGGCTGCTCCGAGCGCCTGTAGAAGGCAATTGTGATGATCGAAAAGAGAGGGATAACGGCCGCCTCGAATGCACCCAAGAAGAAGCGAGATACGAGCAGACCCACGTAGTTCCTCGATCCAGCAAGACCTCCTGCAACAGAGACTCCCCAGCAGATGATAATGACTGGCAAGACTTGGCGATATCGAAGCTTGACGAGAATCCATGCCGCAAGAGGCTGGACGCCGAGTTGTGCGTAGTAACCGATGCTGCCGATGTTCGAGTAGTCGTTGCCCTTGAGCTTCGCATCTGTCTTGAGCCCATAAACGGCTGTCAGGCCGATGATTCCCTTGTCGGCGGATTGAAGGAAGTAGACCATGCAGAGAAGAGACAACATCCATATGTCGGTCTTGCGCAGAATGCGCTTGTTGTCAGCCTCGGTGCAGAGATGGGCATCGCTGAGACCAGGGTCTTTGCCCTCCTCGAACGCAACAGCAAGGTCAGCGGCATGATCCGTAGAGCTGTTGGACGATCGCTCAATGTGAACGGTATTCACTTTCTCCGCTGTTGACGCCATGTTGTCCAGCGGCTGTGAGATGGAAGAAGATCTGGAGAAGTAAAATTGTCTGGGGACGACCTGGGGTAGATATGGGGGAACGGCTAATGAGCGTAATTAGAACCGGTGCTATCGGCCAGATCATGCCGCACACACAACTTGCGAAGTCATCGCGGTCGTCACTGTCATGTCAAGCCACTCTATCGGGTTTTCCAAATCCACGAATTGCGGGATCGCGTCTTGGATGTTTCAATAATCGAGAATGGCGTCTTGTGCGCCAATGTGCTGATGAGGTTTGTCGCAACGTCAGCACCACCATCATCAAACACGTTTAGTCCAAGACCGCCACGGGCTTAGCTTTGGGTGCTAAGATAAGAGAAGACATGCTAAGGCGTCTCGGCATGCTTGTGAGTGGTGCACAAATCAAAAGGGCGAGATCCAGAGCCGCGTGGTCCGCTCATCGAGACCCCTCGAGAGATCTTCCACGAATAACAATGTCGAACAGTAGTCCAAAAGAAGGGGCTGGCGAGTGCGCACTGGGCGAATGCTCGAAGTTGAGTGGATCACTGGGCCGATTGCGTCCGGGGAAGTGGGGCGCTGGGGAAATAGCGGCGAAACCCCATGTCTTTCCACTTTCATGGCGCTGCGATTGATGTCCGTGCACGCCTCCCTCATCCCAATCATGCGACCTCTGCATGTCAATAATCTCACTTACAAAACTGGTAGAATTTGGTGAGCGAGCTTATAAATGCCTTATGGGGCTTGCGCAAACACGTCACCTGGGCAGTGGTGCTTCTGGAAAATTGCCGTCCTTCCACATGAGCAGATTTGAGCGACTTGAAAACTCACCTTCTTAAAGGACTCAGAATCCTAAAAGCCACTTGCCGGGTAGTCCGGATTACGCGCAGAACAACAAGAACTCAGCTATCAAGCCGTATTTATCCCAGCTACAACTGACATTATTGTTTGAGAGGTTCGGTTGACTCTCTATGGAAAACATTATTTCAAACAGGCTGATTCGCTACAGAAAGAGGCGACGAGGCTTGGATCTCTTTGGCCATCGAAGTCTGTAGTCGAAAGTCGAAGTGATAGGTCCAGCCCTGTTCTCTATGGATGCTCGCTGCCTCTGCGCGGCCTCACTCTTCTGTGTACCAAGCACAAGACTCCTCGTGTCAAAGGAGCACGGTGCGGGGCGCGGCTGACACACTTAGGAAGAGTACGCTCGATATTGTCCGCGGCTCTGGTGGATGGATTTCAGCTCCACACGTCAGTTTCAAAATCTGCTCGGGTCAATGGAACACCCAATATCAGTGCAATGCAAAGTCCATGTTGTAAGTACAGCTATCTATCTATTGAGCCAACTCTGTCACTTCACACTGACTACACCTGCTTCAGTACTGTTCTTGGCCCTGGCCTTTTTTTTTTTGCACAATGCAAGCTAAGCTCTGACCCAGAAATTGCGCTTGACATTTTCAGTCTGAGTTATGATGCAGTATCCCAGGCTCTTTAGCAATCCACAGAGTGGTGTGTGTACTCTTACATGGGTTGCCACTACCTAGAGTCCGTTATTTGTGTCCTGAAGAAATACTATATGAGATCTAGTCTACTTTATGGCTATCGTTCTTCGCAATATAATCTGTAATGCTCTCACCGCAGTTCAGTCACTTGAGAAAGCCAACGTTTTGTTCTGTAACAGCGCTGAACAGCCGAGTTGTGGCGAGAGCACGATCTACTGCACGCTTGCGATCGAGTGCAATAATAATCAGTCCCGTTCTGTTGATACAAGTTCGTGCGAAAGTCAATCCTTCGATTTCCCCCCGTTTAACATCCGGTTATGTGGGTTGTTGAGCATAGGGTTTGTAACACTGTCCTGCACGGATGACAAGCATGTGGAGGTCTGTATCTTAATTAGTGATCATTCTGCGTCGTAGATCTACTCATTATTTAGGTGCTGTCGATATGCATATGAGGATCAAACGAAAGTGCAATTCGAGTCCACTTGACTGGAACCGGTATGTGGCCCAATGATAATGGTCGCGGCAGAGCACTTGGAGCTGATGTGGGGCGTCATAGGCACTTGTAGAGCATCTCAGGCACTTCTGTAACGCTCGGTGGAGCTTCAGCACGTGGACTATGACTGAACCGCTCCAGGATACGGAGCTACTATATCCCGTTAGTTCCACATAGAGCTTCGTCCCATCTAACCTCATTAGGAATCAGAAGTCCAATACATAGATCACCTGAATTAATTTTCGGTCTCTTAATTATTCTTTCACAATGATCAAACTAGCAAACACTGCACTGGTTTCAACCGAGCAATACTATCTTGTTCATTCAAATCCTCTCACGTCATTTTTAATCATCCTTTCCTCTTTCGAATTCGCCGGTCAAAGTAATCGTCCATCTCATTCGATTTTAACAACAATCACATCCCTTGTCAACGTTGATAGTGAACACAACACTGGAGGAACTCGACAGGAACTCATACACGCGGAGATTAACGCCAATCCTAAGTACTGCAGGCATTGTCTGCCAAATATTAGAAAGCGGATGGACGATAAAACTTCCTGACGATGATATTATAGAACAGACAAACTGTCAGCAGTTGCGCAACCTGTAATATATTGTAAATGTAAGATGGCTATAAATGTATCGTCACTATTGGGAAAAACTGAAACCCAACCGCTCGGATATCAACATTGTTGTCGCCTACGTGTCGAGTTTCTCTATAATTCACGAGTGGCCCGGTAAAGTCATCAGAACATGCAGCTCGACTTTCATGCACATGCCGCACTGTGGCACTCATCGCGTCTCGAGCCTCGTGGTCATATTCGTAACAAACTCTTGCTCAAGGTTGATCAGCAAACCTTACAGATAAGACCGTTTTGAGAGTTGTGTCATCAACGTTATCGTATTAGCGAGACGTATACGGTTCTCAACCTACCTTTTAGCTAAAGCACATCTGTTGAGTCTATCGATTTTCTAGATTAAACCTGCCGACTTCTTCCTAGCATAGGGAATGTTTCTCATAACTGGAATAGACTGCTGTGATTTTTCCCCTTCTTCAGTACATACATTGTCTTCACATTTCTCATCCTGAAGTTCACAAAACGCATCGAAGCATCGCACTAAGCCCGCGTTTTGAGACGAGCCTAACTGCACGCATAGCAGTAGCAGCAGTACATTGGTTTAATGAGTTAGAAGTGTTGGAACATAAGTTCAATCCTGGTAGCAATCAGTGAGCTAGAGAAGAACGTCCAAAGTCATGGCTTTGATGAAGAGGACCCGTTCGCGGTGGTTTAGTTACCATCAACCGTATTCTTTTCAGATCCGACCGATCATATATCAGTGATGGAGGTAAGGACACAGAGAAACTGAAGCATTGGGAAACTACTGCCATTTCGAGATTTTGGTCTTACCCAGGTATTGTCCTCTGGTATCGATACTTGACGAGATGTACAAACCTCCGTACTTAGAAAACACAAACGCCAATACCGTTCTGTATTACTTTCGCAGATAATTTAGCAGTCAGGATTCTGGCAACCAAAGTACCACTGATGGCATCAGCGAGATCCCTACGATCCTGTGCCGTTGGCTCGGTTCACCCATTTCCAAGGAAAGATTACCTGGTAAGAAGTGGCACACCAATAGATAGCTTTGCTCAATTACCCATCGGTGAGACTCAGACGCAGTACACTTACGCTTACTAAAGCGGGGGAGTGCTCATGGATAGCTAGACGCAGGCAATGGAACGATGGATGCAGATGCAGAATGCTTATCTAATGTCGTCTTGAACGGTGCGCGGGACAATTGCCTCGCTTAATTGCATGGGTCGAAAAATTGCCGCGTATCCACGTATGCCAGTCGCTCCACTTGCAACTTGACGCCGAGAAAATGTTGGCTTATCTTCGATAAGTACACTTCCAAGGCCGTGGATTGAAAGCGGGGAAGGCCAAGAAAACAATGGAGATGTTGTTGTTTTCGCGACCTCGGGAGCCGTTACAACCGTCTCGGACGGCCCGTGCAGCTGACGCGTCTGCACATCTCCGGCCGGCGGGTTGTGCGCAATGCCCCGTCGACTAGGTATTGTACGATAATTTCGATCAATTCTCCGTCTAGCGCCCCGGATCAACGGTATCTGCCTATTCTCGTCCCGTCGCGGTACGCCTTGCGCCTTGCGCAAGCTTTTCATTCGCTGGCTCTTGCCTGAGTATATGGCCTGAGGGGCGAGAACGGCCTGCGAGGTGTAGCAAGGCCTAATGAGTGCTCATTGCCCGCGACTATCAGGCTGCGTGGCTGCTTTCGACTTCGTAAGAGGAGCTGGCGGCCGAATCTTGGCACTCCTACACAACGGCAGACCGCTGCAGGTGCATGGAGCTCACCGATCGCAATGAGGAAACGATGTTCATTTTCAAAAAAACTGTTATAGCCCTGGTCCCACGAATCGGCCCGTCAACCCTGTAGGGCTCATGGCATTCTTACATATAGTCAAGCTGTTTGTAGGTTTTTTTTGCCTTGCGTCTGTATCCAGCACTTTCGAGTACCAAGATGAGGAATGCTTTACAAGCAACATGGCTTTTGCCACTAGTACTGGGAGGTGCGCTTCCATTCCATGATGGACAACAGATTGAAAGAAGATCATTCGATATTGTCGACAGTGCACTAGCGGGATTGGGTAGTATCAAGCAAGATCTGATGGCGGGCGGTGCTGCTATCAACCAGCAGCTATATCAAGCCGTGGAACAGCCTGCTCAGTACAAGAAGTGTAATCCCTCTAACCTACAAGTTCGTCAGGAATGGTAAGTCAAAAGTACTGGGTCATTGGTCGATACTAACAGCCCAAGGTCAACTTTCTCGTCCGTGGAGAAGAAGGCGTATATCAGCGCAGTGCAATGCCTTGCGAAACTACCTCCGAAGACTTCAAAGGAGGTTTGTCCAGGATGTCGGAACAGATACGATGATTTCGTCGCAATCCACATCCAACAATCATACAGTATCCATGTAACGGGCAACTTCTTCACCTGGGTATATCTCATCAAGATCATGGTCTCAACTGTGAGCTAACGCCGCCTAGCACCGTTATTTTACCTGGGCTTACGAACAAACACTGCGAAACGAGTGTGGCTATAAGGGTAACCAGCCTTACTACAGCTATTCCAGGTGGTATGCAGACCCGACAAAGTCACCACTGCTTGACGGTTCCGACACATCGATCTCGGGCCAAGGCGCACCAGGTTGCCAGAACCAGACTTTCACAGGTATCCCGCTCAACACCAACGCATTGATAAAAATTCCACACGGAGCCGGTGGTGGTTGTGTAACCTCAGGACCGTTCAAGGACTGGCAGGTCAATGTCGGGCCACTGTTCCCGGGATCGGCATGTGCGAAGTTGAATGCCAATCAGAACTTTTCTGAGCCTGCGTATGGTCTTGCGTACAATCCTCGATGCCTTACTCGTGATATCAGCGGCTTCACTGGAGAGGGTTGGTTGAAAGACGACGATGTTGTATCTCTGCTCAAAAGCCCCAATTATCAGAAATTTTGGGGAGATATTCAAGGAGGGATGCCCAGTTTCACGAACAACTACATGGGTGTGCACACGGCTGGTCATTTCATCATTGGCGGTGACCCAGGTGGTGACTTCATGGCTTCCCCCGGCGATCCGTTCTTCTTCTGTAAGATCTCCGTCACCCAGACTCACTATTTACACTAATCAAATCGCAGTCCATCACGCTTCTATCGACCGCCTCTACTGGACCTGGCAGAACCTCAAACCTGCCGAGCGTACCAAAGCTTTGTACGGACCCACCTCCATGCTTGATCCTACATCCCCCGCAGCGACCCTTCAGGATACGATTACTTTGGGCACGGCATACGCTGGAAATGTCACCATCGAAGGAGCTTCCAGTACTATGGCGGGTCCCTTCTGTTATACTTACATATAGGTATATGACTTTATATCGCAGCAAGTCACTAATCAATAACCCTAACAGCTTATCCAGGACAATATCTAGTAGTTCTAGGATATCTAGTAGCTTTTCTAGAAGTTTTAGGTTTTCTGCTAGATATCCTGCTAGATGTTCTAGATTGACTAGATGCTAGCAGACTAGCTTATTCTACTACGTTACTTTAGTAGTAGTGCTATTCTGCTTATCCTATTTAGGACTAGTGCCTTAGAATATCTAGCAGCTTAGGATATATAGTAGTTTTTCTAGAAGTTTTAGATTTCCTGCTAGATATCCTACTAGATATTCTAGATCTACTAGATGCTAGTAGACTAGCTTATTCTACTAGATTACTAGCGTACTAGTGCTACTCTACTTATCCTATTTAGGACTAGTGCCTTAGAATATCTAGCAGCTTAGGATATCTAGTAGTTTTTCTAGAAGTTTTAGATTTTCTACTAGATATCCTACTAGATATCTTAGATATACTAGATACTAGTAGACTAGCTTATTCTACTACGTTACTTTAGTAGTAGTGCTATTCTACTTATTCTACTTAGGACTAGTACTTTAGAATATCTAGCAGTTTAGAATATCTAGTAGTTTTTCTAAAAGTTTTAGATTTTCTACTAGATATCTATTAAGGTTATACTTTAAGTAAAGCTTATAAGCACTATTTAATTAGTTCTTAGAGATAAATACTATTAGGGAAACTAAAGGGGTCTTGTACTAAGGAGTATAGATATAATCTATCTATCTTAAGGGCAAGAGGTAATAATAAGTAGTATAGAGTAGACTATCTAGCTTAAAGGTTAGGTTAAGATCTAATATTATAGATTAATACTTAGGTTAAATATAAACTATAAGGGTTATATTCCTACTTACTATATACTATAGAGAGTATAGTAGCTTACTAGGCTTAATATAAGCTATATAAGCTAGGTTTACTAAGCTTAATATAAGCTATATAAGCTCTATATAAGACCTACTTTAGGCTTAACTACTAAGAGATAAGCTTATTATATAACTTATAATAAAACTATACTATATAGAATAGCCTATATAATATTATACTAAGTATATTAGTATTTACTAGGTATTAGCATCTAGTTAGTTATAAAAGAGTAATTATAATATATAGCTATATTTTATATATAGTCTTTACTTTAGCTATCTTATTCTTCCTAGTTAGGCACTAGTAGCTCTATACTTTATACTTACTATAGTAGGCAGCATATTTCTTAGTTATAGCTTATCTAGCCCTTAATAGGTAGTTCTAGGTATTATACTTCTATATATAGTAGCTATATACTATTACTACCTTATACTAGGTTTCTATATAGCTATTTCTTTAGTACTTAAAGTACTACTTTACTTAGTACTATTACTTATATTGCTTATACTAGAAAACTTTACCTTACTAAATTAGACTCTTATTAATAATCTTATTAGTATTCTCTAGTTTAGTAAACTTAATAGTAATAGTTATTACTATCTTAGTAGTAGTATCTTTAGTAAGCTAGCCTATATATCTTATCTTAGCCTAAGGTATAAATAGTTAGTTATCCTATAGTATCTGCGCTCTAATCTTATTAAGCTTACTTATATCTATTATACTTATATATATACTATATATAAGAATACTAAATATTAGGATCTATACTATAGTTCTACTACCTATATAGTAGGCCTAGTTATCTATAAACTATTATAGTACCTTAACTTTCTTACTACTTGCTATCTTAATGCTTAGGTCTCTACTCTTTAGCTAGTTAGATAAGATAATTTTTATATTAACTATATTTTTATTACTACTTTACTTAATAGCATGCTAGATATATATTTTAAGGTTACTAGGATTTAAAGCCTTTAGGCTCTATATAGTAAGGGGGTCTCTAATATTTATAATAACCTTATACTATATCTATATAGATAGCTGTTTAACACTTTATATATTATATATACCTGCTAGTAGAACTCCCCTAGCTACTACTATAGTATAGCTTATTAGTCTATTTACCTACTCTTATAGTCTCTTGTTCCTAATCTCTTATGCAATCTCTAGCATTGCTTTACCTACCTCTATAGTATCCTTAGCTACTACCCTTACCTCTTCTACTATATTACTATTTTATTATATCTTTATTATAGACTATTATATAAGTTCTATAGTAGACTTAAGGTCTTATTTAATTTAGTTAAGAGTTTATACTATACTTTCTACTATTACTCTTACCTTAGTCTATATAACATTAAGCGTGTTACTAAGACTACTAAGGTTAGGGGAGTGCTATGTCTTTAGTATAAACGTTAATGCGCTAACGTACCTTACAGGCGAGTTAGATACTAGGCGAGTTAGACACTTTTGCTAAGCCCCTACTAAACCTCCCCCTATTATAGCCTAAAACACTATAAACTAGCGCTATATAAGGCAAAATAAGCTATAATATTACTTAGATATCTCTTCTACCTTAGTCTTGCACATTTGCGCATTATATTCTGTCTAGTTGCACTGTCTACAGCGCCTTTAGGTTAGCTTAGCCCTATTAGCGCGCCCTTGCTTCTTTGCCTTCTTCCTGTTACTGCGCGCCCTAAACTCCTTTAGAGTAGTTAATTGCTGCCTATCCTTAACTATTAGGGTCCCTTCTACCTTAACTTGCTTTCTTTTGTGCAATTTATGTTGCATAGTAGCCTTATTAGCTGCTTAAAGCTTAGTAATTTCCTGTTGCGCTAACACTAGCTTATGCGTAATAATAGCTGCCCCCTTTAAGACCTTCTTAAACGCTTTAACTAGAGACGTTAGTAAGCTGTTTATATGCCTCTAAATCCTTGTCTTTATAAGCGTTAATTGCGACCTAAGTTCTAGGGTATTGCTTAGGGTTTGCGACTGCTAGGGCTCCCTATTAATAGGGAGTAGTAGTAATAGAGTGCGCAGCTTCACATTAAGGGCTAATATAACCTGTTCTAGGTTAAATAGAACTAGTCCAGCGCCTTGGAACCCTCCCTAGATGTTGCTAGGAGTAATTGCAGTATTATAGGCGCGTATAAAGCATAGTAGGAACTTAGACTTTATAATATAGTTAATCTAATTGCGCATAAGTATTTTAGCTTAGCGCCTATATACCTTCTTTAAAGTGGCAAAATAACCTATATTAAGGGGCTGCGTAAGGTGTAATAAGTAAGCAGGCAAATAGAGAGTAATTATCTTGTTATCCTTGCAGTATTGCTAGAATTTAAGAGAGTTATAGCTCTTATAACTATTAATAATAAGCAAATAGTAGCTGCTGACAGTATGCTGCTTTGTATGCCTGTTAAAGTGCTCTATCTAGTCTAGACTAAGCTTGTTAGTAGTCTAGCCATTATTAGAGACCCTAATAACCCAGTCTTAAGGCAGTTCTTCCTCCTTGTACCAGGCAGAGAGGTAGTAGTGGGCCTTAAAGATAAGAAAGGCTAGAATAGCCTATCCTTTAGCATTGATGCCTACTATAGCCGTAGCCCACTCCTGGTTGCCTAGCTGGACTGCCTTTAGCCGACCTTGTCGTTCTAAAGCTATAACAACTGCTCCTTGGGAGATCTAGCCTATTATAAAGCCTGTCTTGTTAAAGTTATACGTGTCTTTATCCTGGATGCTATACTTAGCTTTAATGTTGGCTACTAGGCTATACCAGCCCTATAGGACCTTAGGGTCCTTATAGAGGGCTCTCTTATAGTCGTACTTGCGATTAAACTTAACTATAAGCTCTAGCTGCCGCTTAATGAACGTACTAGGCTAGTTTATGCTAATAGGGCCTAGATTGCGCTTAGCGCGCAAAGAATTAGCTATAGTAGCTACATCTACAAGCTAAGGGGGAAAACTGCGCGCAATAAGCTTAAGGACATGCTTAATAATTACCTTCTCCTTGTTGTTATCTAGGTTCTGCATATTAGGTATAGAAACCGCTTGTAAAGGCCGTCTAGTGCGTTAGTTACTTAGTGTGCTTCGAGGAACGCTATAGAGAGTAGTAGCGCGTTGCAGTAACAGAGTCGCGTCTTGTTTAAGAGCCTGGAGTGCAAGCTGTATCTGAGCTTCCTTTAACGCGTTTAACTGGTGTTGTTAAGAAGGCATTGGTATAGAGGGTGAAGTTTAGTAGGGGCTTGGCAAAAGTGTCCGACTCGCCCGGTGTCCAACTCGCCCGTGAGGTACGTTATAAATAATGTTGCTAACAATATCTACTAGTAGAGGCTGCTAGCCTCTATTATGCTTAATTAAGGATAGCACCTTATAAAGGAAAGCGCTAAGGTTAGTAGCATGCTTATCTATTAGGATTAGCTAGGTTAACCTTTAGGGCTACAGTGTTGCTATAGCGCCTTAGCAGCAGTAGGCACTACTTCTGAGTGCTGGCTAGTTAAAAGCTGTCTCTAGTAGACGTTTTGCGCGCGTTGTACTACGTTAATTCCAAAAAGTAAAATTCTCGCTGTTGTCGTTGTTTCTTAGTCAGCTGCAGTGTACTTATGCAGTGGCGACGAGGTCGACAAAGCTAACGGTACTGTATTTAAAGCTAATTATGTGTTGTTAACCAGTAGACACGCCAATGGCAAGGGGCAGCCCTCTGGCCCCGTTGGGGTCAGCCTTATTGGCTGGTTCTGCTTTGCGAGCTGTACATCGCAAGCGATCTTTTCAATTGGCTGGAATCTTTCCCGCAGTCTTCGATTGTGCTGTAAGACTTTCCAAATAAGAGCATCTCTTTGACTTCCCTTGCATATACAAAACGCACTCGCGGCAATCAAACGTGAGAGCATATTACAGAGCTCTGAGCATACCCAACGTCCCCCGCCCGTAAGCGAGAAATGCCCCTCGGCGAGACTGCCCAACTGGACGTCCAGGTTTAATTTAGCAGAGCAGAAGAGGGTCGACCCGGCGCAATCAGTGGAGCAATGGAGACACGGTCATATTGTGCAGCGACGCCTGACCAGCAACATTGCATCTTCAATGCAGCAATATCAGCGATTGCTGGAAATGAGGAAAGAGACGGACACATTCCGTCTCACAGAAGTTTCTCGAGTGGCGCCACAGTCAGCGCCACAACTCGTACCAATCAGACATAGCGTCAAATACAATACATTCCGCCGCCTTAAGGTCACTCCCTGCCTCTAGGAAAACCCTGTGCACGGGGAAAGATCTGCAACTCGATGCTCTAATTTCTCAGACGCTACACCCCAACGATCTATCTTCGAGACAACATAGACTTCACAGAAATGCCATTCAACTTCTTATGCACGATACGAAAATTACATGTTGATGTCGCGTCCCTTATCGTTCCTTACGGCATGCGTGGCATCTGTGAGAAGTTTGCACCCCTGCTAGAAAACGCAATCGGCAAACCTAGCGCATGCAAGAAGCTCAAACATTATCTCAAGT